GACAGAAGCGAAGAAGCTGAGAGAGAAGCATATTCATTTATTTATTTAAGAATTTTACAAAAAAAAAAAAAAAAGAAGAAAGAAAAACAAAAACCTAAATACAGAATTTGTTGCTTCATGGTTGATCTTTTTACTTGCAAGAGTAAACCTTGTTGCTAGATGCAGCCGACACACTTTATTGCATGAGACAGATGTTTAGTTACACATATATCAAAATGGTGGGGACAGTCGATTCTGGACACTTGGTACCGTGTTCCCAGGACAATCTGAGGCAGCAGTGCAGCATCACTGAGAACAGTGCGTACCCTCCACACCAACGCTCCTGAACAGAGCAGCAACACAAAAAGGGAGACTGAAGAGAAAGAAGAGAACAAAGACAACCCAGAGTTCACATCCACCTCTGGTCTTTGGATTCCACCAGATGTCGTCTCAAGATGCACCATGTCGGACTAGTAAAGGAGGAAGATCTACGCCTATGTAGAAAATATCCTTTGCTCAAGGAGGTAGAACCTGGCAAAAGTTTATTGCAGAGATACAGCATACCTCTTCACACCTCTCATGGTTGATGGTAGATACAAGTGGCTATTGAAAAATAATATCAGTAGTTGCAGATTCAGTATAAATCACAAACAGGATGATTTTTCCGCATAGTGGTGAGACTGCAATGTGCTATGTAGGAAAAAAGCTCTCTCTGTCCCCTAATTGGGAGCCAGAGGGAAGACTCCAGCTTCTTTACCCTCTTCAGTGCCACAAACACTGCCACAATGAGAATGGCCCTCAGTGCCTACAAGCCAGAGATACCTTCTCAGGGCAGGGTCTGGGTTAGAAGGCTGCAAGTGCAAAAGCCAGTTGTGTCTCCCCAAGGAACCTGCAGACTGACCTTCAGCCCCGAAGAGGCCAAAATTGCAAAATTAAAAAAGAACCAGCTCCCTCAGGCTTCCCTCATTTATCAACTCTGCTGGACAGTAATCTAGCCTAGCTGCACCCTGCCACCTGCTGCTGCAAACCACCTGGGCCAACTGCTGCTGGGAACAGAAAATACAGCAGGGCAACTTACACTGGGAGGCTTTGTGACAGGCCCCAATGCCTGACACATCAAGTTCCCAAGACTCATCCAAATGCAGACAACATCGAAAATGTCAACTGGTCTACCAAGCTAAATAATAATGAATGAAATTTATACATGAAGGAAAGGCCCAGGAAGTGCTCACAGCAATCTTTCCTGAAAATTAGAGAGGAACATTTTTCTTAAAGGTGCAAAATCTGTAAGTAAAAACCCAATGTTGGGCTGGGGATATGGCTTACTTGGTAGAATGCTTGCCTCTAATACACAAGGCCCTAGTTCAATCCCCAGCACCATAAAACATCCCCCCACCCCACACACAAAAATCTTTGCTTCCTGGGTGATAATTGACACTGTCCCCATAAACCAGCCTAGGGCCTTCCCTATTGCTAACACTATTAGAACACATTACTCCAGCCCAGCTCCTACCTTCATGTCTGACCCAGTCAAGTCCCCAGGACTGGGGTGATTCAGTGGTAGAGAGCTTGCCTAGCATGTAAGAAGCCCTGGGTTTAATTCTTAGAACAAGGAGGCGGGTGGGATTAAGTCCCCAACATAGGGGAGAGCAGCAGCGGAGGAGACTCACTGGTTGGCCCTTCAACAGAAATTGTGGTGTGCTGGAGGCTGTGGCAGCATTCACTGGTGGTGCTCTCCTTGGGAGGACAGATGTTCCTTAATGCACATTCTCTAAAGTCACCTGTCAACCTTCTACCAGGCTTGTCTCCCACCTGTTAAAAACACGCTCAACAAATTGCACCAAAAGCTGGGTTTGCTGCAAAGTACATTTCTGATTGTTCTATATGGTTTAAAAGTATAGCCAGCCCCAACTTCTTTAAATAAACACAAGGAATCTACAGCAGCAGCAGGCCATGAGCCACTGTTTCAAATGTGTTTCAAATGTTCCTGTCAGTGGAAAGCTGGAGCTCTGGGACTTGGTACAGGCCTGAAAATTTCAAGGGCAGAGGCAAGTCAGGTTTCCTGAAGAGTTAGGCTTGATCCCAAATGCACTGAAGAAGTTAGAGGAGCTTCAAGCAAGTTTTGGGATTTTTTTTTTTTTTTTTTTTTAAGATGTGAAAACATCAGGCTCACTACAGCCTCCAAAGAACATGAATGATGACAGCATCAGAAATGGCACTCAAGTGCACTCCCCCAATACAATGCACTGCACATAGTAAAAACTGTAATAAAAATGCAAACAAGCATGTTGAAAAACATTAACACAAACCAGACAGGAATTCTATAGCAAAATGCAAAACTAAATACCAAAATATAGGAACAATTTCAAATAAAACAAGTTTTCCATACTTTCCTAAATTATTTAAAAAAAAAAAAAAGTAAGATGCCCCATTTGAGAAGTCAAAAGAATAAATAGGAATGAAGGGAAGAGGGGAAAGGGAAAAACAAGCAGGTAGGGTCCCAAATGTACAAGAAATATTTACATTCAGAATTCAAAAGAACTCTCATTTCTATATATACACACATATGTACACATATATAAGTACAGCATACATCTGAGAGTGGGCTCTAGATATCACCAACATACTCAGACAAAAATCTACTTGCTAATAAGCTTGAGTTGCATGTATCTAGATGTTTCTTTCACTTAAAAGTCACTGGCATTTGTAATGGACAATTGGCCTTGAATGAGGATTATTGTTCTGCAAATGCACTTGCTGAGCTGCAGCCAAACAGGGAATACTTGCTACATTCAGCAGCAAAGTGTGCATGGGGTGTGGTGTTAGCCACGCAGACCACAGACACAAGGGCGACAACAAATGCCCACTGTCACAGTGGTTGTATGCCACTGGGACTCCTGAACTAATCAAAACATTCCTCATCTGGATCCAGCCCAACAGTAGCTCCTTCATAGCACCATTCTTAGAAACTACCCAATACAGCTTAGGTCCATTTTTAAAATGAGATTACCTGGATAAGGCCCATCCTTCTAACATCTTACTAAGAAAAGGACCTGAAGGGAACTTCTGTCCCTACCTCTTAATGTAAGATGCAGCTATCACTTTAATCTATTGCTTTTTGCCCTCATGCTAAAATGGAAAGGGGGGTGGGGGTCCTAAGTGTAAGAGGTGTCCTGGCACCCCTTTTTCTTCCCTGTTAGAAGTTGTTCTAATAGAGCATCATATGGAGACCAGCCAATCGATGCCTCAGGGGCTACAGTAAAACACTGTGACTCTAATCTAAAACTTTTACCTTTATAGATAGAGCAAACTCAAAACTGAAGGTTCTTCATTGTTGCAACTCAAAAAGGTTTCTGAAGTGCTACTGAATTAGAATAAATACATTCTCGCTCCCTCCATTCCCCCGCTACAGTGCTTTGGATGCTGGTTCTTGCTAATTTATATACATGTAAAGAGAAGATAAGAAGAGCATCTGCAATTTAGCAAAAGGAAAATTGCTTAATACATCCACTTTTTGATCAAATTTTGCTTAAATAAATACTTTGTTAATATTTTCATGAATTCAACACTGAAAACCTCTCTGGATAAGGCAGCTAGACTGCAGACAGAACCTGTGGTGTGTAGGCTGCTGAGTGAGGGGAACACCACTTCCCCAACTAGGACAACTGAGCAGCTCTGGACTCAGGGAATGGTTTGTACCATGATCAGCACTGTGAACTCTGAAACCCTGATGATTTACAATCAAATCCACATGCTCAGAGTCATATTGCTAAAGAGGAAAAAAGGCATTGGAGAGGCCGAATGGACTCACGTTGGGTTAACAAGGCCTCTGGGTATAGACGTGGCATTTAGATCCTGAAAAACACAAACCTATTTTAAACAGATTAGCTGTTGTGAAGACTTGATTTTTGACAGAAGCCCTTGAATGCTGGAGCTTCCCTGGCGGCCAACTTAGACTTGCTGACTTTTGTAGGAGCATGGTATAAGACACCAGATATTCACCTCCAGGGGTTGGGCACTAGCCCTCGGTGCTATACATGTACAACAGATGTGGGCATGTGGCACCCCAGCTCCCATCCATCCACACTGGTCACCTTTTGGAAATCTTTCAGATGCCTTGTTTCTGGATCTTATTTTTAAAATAAACAACAAAAAGGAGGTTCTACAAAGAACAGAACCTACATAGGCCCTTCTGTATCAGGGTGACTACTCTAAGAACAAACATGACAGCATGACCTGGGGTAGAGTGAGGGAAGTATCACGTAACAATCAGCCGAAGAATCTTTCTGCTGATGCTGTTCTGAAAACACCATAAAAAGCCAGGACCTGCTAAAACAGATGCCCTCACACCGAGAAAGGGGAAGAGTCAAACAATCTCATAGTACTTTTCCTAACCCCAACATTTTATCTCATGGGAGGGAGCAAATTAGATATGCCTCCCTTCCCCAGTGCACATCCACCTTACCACCAGCTGAAAAACAGAAGCACTAACTTGGAGGTTCTCCTGAAGGTGGACACAACTCTGCTCATGGCTGTCAGCTGGACCTAGTGGCTCTGACAGGGACACTGATGGGTATGTATATGGGTCACTGCCTGAGACACATGGACTAGACTGAGGATGAGAGTCTACTGGGCAAAGTGTACACAACAAGAAGAGTGACTCTCAATTTGTTCTTTAGGCACTAAGAATAAATAAATCCAAAGAAAACTTATTGGGTAAACATAACCAAACTCAGGTTGAAAGAAACAGAAGATGAAAGCCCTTAAACTTTTCATCAGGTTCTATCACTTAACACACATCTCACTCAATTCTCTGGAAAATTTAAAAAAGTACAATAGGAACAATTCAGTTTTCGAAAGTATTGTCATGTTACCCTTTCCTCAACAATACCTCAAATTTAAGCAAATTTTATACAGACTCTAAAGCTACCTGGAATGCTGAGGCCATACCAACTTCTACAGAGCCCCATCAGACTATTTCTAAAAGTCCCCAGTGAGGGCCTAAACAAGAGTCCACTTCATTAGTAATAATAACTTTTTTATTTAACATCTACAAGATATTGGTATCTTGCAGCTTTTGACCAGGTTTATACAATCTCAATTTTTCAATAGTGCAACCTGTGCAAGCAAAAAAAGGAGGGGCGGGGGGAGAAACAAAAAGACCAACTGTCCCCTCACTTGTTTTTATAAACATCTATTATAGGCGAAACAAAACTTACCCATGTTATAGATAAGTGTCTATTCACATTTGTACATTACCATTTTTAACAGCTTGAAATAAACTCTACAATGTCTTACAACATGTTAAACATATTCAAGTTACTGGGTAACAACAACAACAACAAAAAACACATACAGCAGAAGCCTCAAGTGTTTCCTCATTGTCTAGTTCACAACTAAAGTATGGTTTCCTGTTCATGAATGACAAAGTAAATTCAGATAATGAAAAAAAAAAAAAAAGATTGTTTGCCAGATGGAAGCCAATTGTATTTCTTCCTAAAACTGTCCTTAAGGAAAATGTAACTTTAAGAAAAAGGGGCTTATAGCCATTTTTTGCAGCACACATTAGGAATACTATTAATACATTAAAATTAACTTTTCAGAGTTTTATCACAAAAAAGGTATGTACTCATTATCTTGACAAGAAACCTGGGGCAAGAGGAGATGGGGGAGGGGGGTTTGCAGGGTTAGAAGCAATACCCAGGTATAAACACTATAAAAATGCAATGACCAATGCTGTACACCTAAAAATGTTTCTCTCTGATACTTGACTCCTGTGTTAATCTTGTTTACGCATGCTTTCAAAGACATGCACGGACAAAACAAAACTACAGAAGAACCCGAATGCATGATAATGCAACCTTTCATTTCATGCTTTAGTAAACCTATTGTTTAAGTTGGAAAAAGAAACCAATATATATTTTCTATAATTACAGACTTGAAACACATGCATCTGGGGATAATTCCCACAGCAATGACATGGATGTACTGTGTTAACCCTGAGCACTGTGTAACAGAAAATAAAGCCAGTTTGGGAAGTTCCAAGCATTTTAAATTGATTGTGGTTTGTAGCCTTTAACAAATCCACAAACAGACTCACTCTCTCACACATACACACACACACAGAACATACGTGCACACACATCCTCTGCTCACCCAAAGTAAAAGCATACAGAAGTCCCAAAAGAAGCAAAAGGAAAGACACATGTACCACCAATGGCACTGCTGATTTTCAGTTTTCTTATCTATTCCAGGTTGTCCTTATTCCCCCAAAAATTAACTACAGAGAGCACAACTGAAAAAAATATATAATTCTTTGGAAACTGTCCCTGATTTTTATGCAAATGATATGCTCCCACAGCATTTCAGATACATCCGTTTTGAAACCTAACTTTTCTTTATGCGTTGCTCAAGTTGGCAATGCTCTGCGGGTGATGCTGCTGCCATAACTGTTTTTGTTGGACTGCAAGCTGTTGAGACTGGTCTGAAGTTGATAGGAGATTTATAAGAGGAGATACACAATTTGCTGGAATGATCAAACCTGCAATTAACAACAATTTTAAATATTGCTCAAGTAGACACCATACTGTATTTTATATCTTCACAGCATATTTAAAATGAGGAATAAACAATAATTTTGCCAAAAATTTAAACAAGTACCTAAAAACTGCAATGGTCCATTAAGATGTAACCTGATTCTTCAACAGTGTTTCCCACAAGCACTTCAAGCACATGTGTCTAGTTAACACCATCTTTTTTTCTTTTATTTTTGGTACAAGGGATTAAACTCGGGTACTTAACCACTGAGCCACATCCCCAGCCCTTTATTTATATTTAAGCAGGATCTGGCTGAGTTGCTTAGGGCCTCACTAAGTTGCTGAGGCCTGAGGCTAGCTTTGAACCCACAGTCCTCCTGCCTTAGCCGCCTTAGCCCCCTGAGCCGCTGAGATTGCAGGTGTGTGCCACTGCGTCCACCTAACACCATCTTCTTAATGAAAGATCAGAAGAGCAAAGTATAGCATTTCTCTGTCCACCATCATTCTGGCTCTGCAAAAATACGCACAAATCTTCTTTGACAGGTACTAATACACAAAATGACATAAAACAAGAGTTACAAACTCAAATGCTCTTCCAAGCAGATAACTTTGAAAGGACAACTGGAAATCATAGGTCCTGGTTATGGGAACTTCAAAATTTGTCATATGGGAATGTGAACTCAATGTTCCACATAAGATTTTTTTGAGAAACAGGTGGAAATTCAGGCTTTTATATGAAACCTCTTGAGTTTTTAAATACTGGCAACTAATTCGTGAAAATCTGTTGCAACCAAAAATACAGCTGGTTACACTGAAGCTCACCTGTAATTTCAGTGACTCAGGAGACTGAGGCAGGGGGATCACAAGTTTGAGGCCAGCCTCAGCAATTTAGTGAGGCCTACATCAACTTTACAATACCTTATCTTGAAATTTTAAAAAAATTACAAAGGAGGGCTGAGGTTGTGGCTCAGTGGGAGAGCACCTGGCATATGTGAGGCACTGGGTTCAATCCTCAGCCCCACATAAAAATGATGAAATAAAATAAAGGTATTGTTTCAATCTACAACTAAAAAAAACTTTTTTTTTTTTTAATTATAAAGGATTTGGGGGGCTGGGGATGTGGCTCAAGCGGTAGCGCGCTCGCCTGGCATGCGTGTGGCCCGGGTTCGATCCTCAGCACCACATACAAAGATGTTGTGCCCACCAAATTCTAAAAAATAAATTAAAAAAAAAATAAATAAAATTAGAATTAAAAAAATTAAAAAAAAAATTACAGTTGGCTAGGCCTGTATGGCTTCCATTAAAAAAAAAAAAAAAAAGGATTTGGGATGTAGCTCAGTGTGAAATGCTCCTGGGTTCAATCAGTACAAAAGCTAAAACTAAAAGTAAACTTGAAGGCTTGGCAGGGGGTGGTGGTGTCAAGTTTATGGAATGTCTTTGGCACATGGGCTATCCAATCTTTAACCCACTGTACAAAAAGCAATGGCTATAAATTGAAGAACAATAACTGGTCCACTTGCTGGGACACTGAAACAAAGAGCAATAATTGGTCCACCTGATGGGACAGCTGTAGTTGAGCAAATGATGGGCTGCCACTCTGGTCTGTTCTTGCTTCCTGCAGTATTTGGAACATCCTCTGTGGCCAGTGGCTTTGAGTTCAGTAGCCTCAACCTAGCTCAACGCAGAGCCCTAGGTAAGAGCCTGGGCTGTCTTTACCACAAGCAGCCCACCCAAAGAGCAGCAGCAGGAGGCAGTGGACCAAGACGAGCTGTAAGAAGCACCATAGGGACCATCAAATGAGAACTATAGCCAAAGACCTGCAAGTTCTGCACCCACTGCTGGAACACATTTTAGATCCATCTGGAATAAATCTAAGATGTTAGAAGAAAAACAAGAACAAGGCAGGATCTACTTTCTACCTACAACTCAAAACCAAAATGAAAATTAGGCTCACCTACAATCCGTTGTCCATCTTCTGTTCTTAGCCGAACTATTTGCATTTTCACATTTGTGCCACTGACAGATGCGAGAACACCTTCAACTTTTGTCCACACACTCAGCACTGAACCACATAATACATAATACGTGCGGCAGCGAAGACCTATTTCACAAACTAATCCCAAACTTGCTTTTTTGCAATTGCCACGCCTAGAAAAGATGGGGGATGGTTATGTACATACAAACACACATATTCATAAAAGGGTTTACAAAGCCTATCCAAATTTCAAATGGAAACCACAGCGCATTATTTGCCTTTAGTTTTTTATACATAATAATCTTTGGCATACTGGATTATCCTTCCAAATTATTCCAAGACTACAGCTGTTTGTGGGGCTGCCTAGGTGTAAAAGGGCTGACTTACTGTGTTAGTAAGCATTTTAACCACTTTTATATCTACTGTAGTAATGCTGTTTTCTGAAGCCAGTCATTTCTACATTATTAAATTGCCAATATACCAGTCTAAATCCAATTAATGGAAAAGGCCTCAGTAAACAAACAAAAAGAGACTACATGGAGAAAAAAGTAATACATACCAATATCTTATGGTCAAAGTTATTATCAACAGAAATCTTTCTGGTCAGGATCAAATCAAGATGAATTTAATACAACGAGTATGTATATAACTGTGTATATGTATCATATGGGTATGTTTTTTTTTTTTTTTTTTTTTTGCTTATCACACAAAGCAAATGTTTTAGACAACTTTTGCAGGCTAACTTAAAACAAAAATTTTCCCCCTAATAATGGGCACAGAACCCAGGGACACTTTACTATTAAGGTATATCCCCCCATTTTAAATTATTTGAGACAGGGTCTCCCTAAGTTGCTCAGAGTCCTAATAAACTGTCCTGGATGGCCTTGAACTTGTGATCTTCCTGCCTCGGCCTCCCAAGTGTCAGGATTACAGGCATGCACCACCAAACATGGCTTAGAGGTTAACTTCTAAAAATATTTTATGTTGAAAGCTATAAAGTTTTCACTAACTGCCTTAATTATCTCAAAATGAAAACAAAAACACTGCTCCCATTGAAGAAAATTTATCTACCTGTATGAATAAAAAATCAAAATAAGCTTAGCACATTGGTGCATGCCTATAATTCAAGCAACACAACAAGAGGCAGAGGCAGAAGAATTTCAAGTTTGAGGTCAGTCTTGGCAAGTTAGTGAGATCCTGTCTCAAAATTTAAAAGGGTTGGAGATATAGGACAGTTGTAAAGCATGCCTGGCTTCAATTCCCATACTAACATAAAATCAACAAACTCTGAGCTCAAATTCACTTCTATTCTACAACCCTTTTCAGAGAATGGAACACGCAGTATAAAAGTAGTACTGAATGTATGATAAAACACTGCAGAATACTGAAATACTGTAATAGACCCTGAAATGAACACAGAAAGGGGTGAGCTGGGGAGCCCAGAGGGATTAGCTCCAGGAAAGAACATCAAGTTTACTTGTGTTATGCAGCTACTTTGGGCATCTCCCAGTTTCTTAGAAGTTCCTTGGAGCTGGACACAGTAAAGCTTTAAAATAAATAAAAACAGGGCTGGGGTTGTGGCTCAGCAGTAGAGCACTTGCCTCGCATGTGTGAAGTACTGGGTTTGATCCTCAGAACCACATAAAAATAAACAAAATAAAGGTATTATGTCCATCTAAACTGAAAAACTTGAAAATAAATAAAAATAAAGAAGGGAAAGAAGATATATAGGGAGGGAGAAAATAAGAAACTGAGAAGAAAAAGCAAGTTATAACACCAAGGATGACAGTTAAGACCATACTGCTAGATAACAGCTGGGTGGAAATAATAAAGCATCAAGGAAGAGTCAGGGGATACCTGGACAGCATCTGGTCCACAAACGCCCAGGAAGAATTCCTGATGAAATCAACCAAGCCTAATAACAGCTAGCTTGTTCATTTACTCATAAAAGATAAAGTGTGTTTAAATCTTGACTGCTCTTTTAAAAAAAATGGTGAGAAACATGAAAATACTAACCAGTAAGCATGAGTACAAGTATCTGCAGATGAATTATACTGATCTAACCAGTGCACCAGGGCATCATCTGAGACTACCTATAAAAATAAAACAAAAATTCCATTTAAACAGTATTGCTTTGATTGTCTAATCCAGCCTTTAACTTCAAAGGCAGGCCAACTTAAAATTATTTCTATACAGAAAACCTAACCATTGTTATTAGCTGAATTGGAACACCACTCAAAATGTTTTGTGATTATAAGAGTTAATAATGAATTTCAAATGAGAATGGCTAGGAATAATAATTTAAGAGAATACTAAAAAAACAAAAACTAATCATAATATTACTTAAAACAAACAAGTTATTTGTATTTTCTAGAAATCATTGCGAGATACAAAAAATACCACTCACAAAAAAACCAAGAGTTGGTACTAAGAAATTTCAATCTCACACATCTTCACTTTTTTAAAAGAAAATTCTAACTCCTGTCCTCAGCACTGAAGTGACCTTTACTGATAATATACAGTGTTTAAAATCATCATCATTTAGTGCTCAATGGTCAATAAAATTAAGACTGGGATATTAGTGTAACAAAACAATATTTTTCTGAAACTTGTCCTTTAAACAGTAAACAAATAATGGGCTAGGGTTGTGGCTCAGTGATAGAGCACTGGTCTAGCATGTGTGAGACACTGAGTTCGATCCTCAGCACCATATAAAAAAAATAAACAAATAAAGGTATCATGTTCATCTACAACAACAACAAAAAAAGTAGCCAAATAAAAATTGACAATTTTATGTCTAGAAGTTATTATTGACATAATTTTAACATATCATAAAACAAGTATTAAATACGCAGTGCAATATATACAAATAAGAAAATACCTTCTTATATTTCTTTTTTAGATCAGCATAAATTTCTAATTTGAGCTGTTTCCCAGTATTTGGTCGATAAACCAAGAAGAGTTTCTTTTTAGGGTTTACTTCTTTAACTAAGATTGCAGTTTTCTTGTTGTTCCTTATCTATTAAAAGAAAAAAAAAAAAAAAACGAGAAAATATGAAAATTTGATACTATAGATTTTAAAACACATTTTTGTTACATCATATCTTCAAATATAATCATTGAAAAGATTAAATTACCAAGACAGGCATGGTGATACACTCCTGTAATACCAGCAACTGGGAGGCTGAATCAGAAGGATCCTAAATTCATGGCCAGCCTTAGCAGCCATGAACTTAGGAGTCCCTGTCTCAAAGTGGAGGGGTAGGGGGGCAGTGGTGGCATCCTGGGGTATAGCTCAGTGGTAGAACATCCTAGGTTCAAACTCCTCAGTACCTCCCTGCCTCTCAAAAAAAGATTATGAAATGTTGAGAAAGGACCATAACACATGATTCAAGGGACTAGGGTGGCTGAGGCAGGAGGAATGCATCCCTGGGTTACCAAAAATGGAAGGAAAGAAGGAAGGGAGGGAAGGAAGGAGGGAGAGAGGAAAGAAACAGTAATGTTTAGACTTTAACAAGGCCATACCAGAGAGGCAGCAACATAAATCTGGCTAAAAACACAGGTTGAGGGCCATGGTATTCTTTAGAAAAATGTTAGAAATAAGCTTTTAAAGTATGAATGTCCAATACAGACAATTTTGCTTCTTCTATTCTCTGTACAGTCAAGCAGTCTGAGAGGGAAAAAAATACATATAACACAACTACTAGACTATTATTTGTAATCTAGGTGGTATACATTAGGGTACCTCAGGAAAACTTTTTCATCTCTGCTTTATATTTTAAAATTTTCATAAAAACTGCTAGAGAAAGCTCTTTCAGTTGCAATAAAATTCAACCTCCTCCAAAATGCCCTCCAGAGAGCCTGGCCCTCTGTCTTTGGGCTCTCCATCAACGCGCCCTTCCTTTCCCTGTATCCCAGGGTGGTTGTGAGTTGAAATGAGACAAAGCATGATGTCCTATATAAGCTTTCTGTGAACAGCAAGGCTATGACAGCAGAAAGCCAAAATGCTGAGCAAATTAAGAGTGACTAAGTATGCAGAAAAGGAAACTCTAAGGAAACATGGAAATTAAGTCTATATTTTTGACCTTTATTATTTTGGAGATTTGGGGTCTATGTTGCTCAGGCTGGCCTTGGTTCAAATGATTCTCCTGACTCAAGTCTCCTGAGTGGGACTACAGGCATGAACCAATATATTGGCTTTAAGAGATATGTGTAATTTATTATTTTTAAAACTTTTTTGGGGGCTGGGGATGTGGTTAAAGTGGTAGCGCGCTCGCCTGGCATGAGTGCGGCCCGGGTTCGATCCTCAGCACCACATACAAACAAAGATGTTGTGTCCACCAAAAACTAAAAATATTAAAAATTTTCTCTCTTAACAAAAAACAAAACTTTTTTTTGCAGTACTAGGGATTGAACATGCTCTACCGTTGGGCTGTAACCCCAGCCCTTCACATTTATTTTTTAAAATACATATATTTTTAGTTGTAGGTAGACACAATACCTTTCTTTTATTTTTATGTGGTGCTGAGGATCAAATCCAGTGCCTCAAGCATGCTAGGTGAGCACACTACCACTGAATCACAACTGTAGCCCCCAGCCCTTCTCATTTTGAAGAAAGGTCTCAATAAACTGCCCAGGGTAGTCTCCCAAACAGCTCAGATTAAAAGGTGTGCACCATACTTAGTCTTGGCTGAATATTTTTAATTTTTTTAAAATTTGGACTTATAAGAGGTATTTGAGGAAAAGGAATTATTTCTTCTTTAATAAGGTACAGAACTTCCAAGCAATTCTCTTTTTTTTTTTTTTGGTGGGGGGTACTGGGAATTGAACCCAGGAGTACTCGACCACTGAGCCACATCCCCAGCCCTATTTTGTATTTTACTTAGAGACAGGGTCTACACTGAGTTATTTAGCGCCTCACTTTTTGCTGAGGCTGGCTCTGAACTAGTGATCCTCCGATCTCAGCCTCCTGAGCCGCTGGGATTATAGGCATGCACCACTGTGCCCAGCTCCAAGCAATAGTCTCTAGTATGGAAATGGAGGGAAAATTTTATAACACAAATGCTTTACCACCTCCTCCACACAATATAACAGCGCTCAATAACAGTGCTCACTGAGCTATTAATTTTATATTATGATAAAAGCCACGTCTTACAATGGTTAAAAGGCAGTATTTCACTCTCTAATTTGTGGACGTTAAAGATGCTTTGTCTTTTACCTGTTCAAGTTTAAAAAAAATTTTTTTTACTATAATTTACATAATTATAGTAAAGTCACAAAATAATAAAGGGAAAATTACACTTTTAAAGTTTCCATCAGATGATGTGAAACACACTAACTGTCCCTTAGAGGACATGCAATGTCCTATAAGTGTCAGGCTAACTAGTTACAGTTACAAAATAAATCATCATGGTATAAGGGAAATAAAGGTGACCCTTTCCACTGCTGCTTAAGGATAGCACACATTATACACATAACACATGTCTGCTTAATCCTGTGGAGGTTCAGAGACAAATGGCTGCACATTCCTGGAATGATGCCCCTCTAGAACCATTGCCCTTGGGATCCAGTCTCCAACTGCCATGTGGGAAACCAATTACCACATCCTTCTACTCAAGGGGAGCTAAAAATCAGAACTTTCAACCAATTCTGACAATAATTTCAATTAAAAAAACAACAGCACCCTATTTAAACTAATTAATCAAAATCCAATCTAGGGGAAAACCTGAATAAAATGGGTTATTTATTTAGTGGTGCTGGGAATTGAACCCATACCTTGTGCATGGGAGGCAAGCACTCTACCAAATGAGCTATATCCCCAGCCCCTAAACTAGGTTAATTATTAACATCCTATTTGATTAATTGTTAACATCATAATTGTGATACTACAGTCTTGCAAAATATTACCATACAGGGAAGTGGGCAAAGTATATAACGATTTCTCAAAAAAATTTTTTTTCTTTTTCTATGGAGAATTGAATCTAAGGGGGCTTGACCACTGAACTACATCCCCACTTCTTTTTATTTTAAGACATTTGCTGGTATTACAGGTGTGCACCACCACGCCTGGCTCTAAATTCTTTTAGATGCACGTGAATCCACATCCATTAAAAAAATTCTCCCAGCACCACTCAAAACTAACAAGCAAGCAAGCCAGGCATGGTGGTATATGTCTATAGATACAGATACTCAGGAGGTTGCAACAGGAGGATCACTTGAGCCCAGGAGTTCAAGGTCACCCTGAGCAACAAAATAAGACCACATCTTACAGAAAAGGAAAAAAACTCAAAACTCCAAAACTACAAACTGGAAGCCAGATGGTTTGAGGGCTCTACTTTAAATCAGGAACCAGCAAATTAGACTTATAGACCAACTCTAGCCTGAGGCTCCTAAGTTTAAGTACAGTTCAAAAAAGGAAAGAGAGAAAAAGAAATAAAAAAAAAAGAAAGGATATATAACATAGACCAGAGATTGCTTTCAAAACCTGACACAGTTATTATCAATTGGGCCTTTTACAGAAAGGTTAAGGGAATTATGCTGTTTATGACACCATCGTATATGATTCCCTCATGCACTTATTTATTTTTGGCACTGGACATCCAACCAAGACCTTGCATATGCTAAGCACTCACTCTACCACTGAGCTACATCTCCAGCCCCACTGCAGTTGATCTCTGTCTTTACAGCTGTCACTCCATAAATAGTTCCAAAATGTGAATTTACAACCAATGGAATATTGTCCATCCTTTTCAAAAAGGAATGAGGAGGCTCCAACAAATGCCATAATATGAATAAACCTGGAAGACATTAGACTAAGGGAAATAAGTCAGACATAAAAAAGCAAATATAGTATGATTCAATTTACATTAGGTATCTAGAATAGACAAATTCATAGAATAAGTAGAACAGTGGTAGCTGGCGTAATGGGGCATTATGGCTTAATGGTCTGAGTTTGGGATAATTAAAACTTTTGGACAGAAGTTGGTGATGGGTTGCAAAATACTGTGACTATAATTAATGCTACTGAAACGTATCCTTCAAAATAATTAAAATAATAGATTTATATAATATAGGTCCACATAAACAAACAAATAAATAACAATAATATAAGCCCCAATACGGCAGAAAGCCAAAAAAGTAGAATATGAGAAATAATTCAAAAAATAAAATTTATAAAATTTTCTGAAATAAGATTTGAAACTACTGAAAGCATAAAACATTCCTGACAATACAGGGAAACTACTATATTTATTTATTTACCAGGGACTGAATCCAGGATTGCTTAACCACCAACCCACATCCCCAGCTCTTTTTTATATTTTATTAGAGACAGGGTCTCTCTGAGCTGCTTAGGACCTTGCTAAATTGCTGGGTTTGATCTCACAATCCTCCTGCCTCAGCCTCCTAAGTCGATGGGATTATAGGCATGCACCACTGCATCTGGCAAAATTACTATATTTTAAAGAGAACATTCTTTGAGCATTTAGGCAAAAGAAATAAATTAAAAATGAAAGAAAGGGGCTGGGGCTGGAGCTCATCGGTAAAATGCTTGTCTTGCATGTGTAAAGCCCGGGGTTCAATCCTCAACACCACATAAATAAAATAAAGGCACTGTGTCCACCTACAACTTAAAAAAATAAATTAAATAAATAAAAAAGAAGAAGGAAGAAAGAAAGAAACAAAGAAAGAAAGACCAGAGCACCAGAAACTTTGAGGACAACCTTTTATCCCAGAAGAACACAGTAGCACATTTAAGATGCCAAGGGAAAAAATGTGAACCTATGACTTTGTCTATGGTAAACATGTCTCTTAAGTATAGGGGCAGAGAAAAACTGACTAGCTGGCAGCAACTCAAGGCAATATTCCCACAAGCACTTCTAAATCACTCAAAAAAAACCTCCAAAAAACAACAAAAAACCCATGAAGCATTAAGAAGATTAAAGAAAACTGTTATATTATTTTTAAAAAAGATTTGATTTACTAAGAATAAATTAAAATTATGAACTTGAGTGTAGTAGTGACCCTGTAAATATATTAAGTAAAAAAGCATGTAAAACGGATAAACATACAATCACAAGAATAAACCATCACAACAGAGACAGAAACAACCATAAATGTACAAAAAAAAGGGAAGAGACACATGCTGGCAGTAAAAAGCATCATGTATTTGAGCAGCCAAGATCCAAAGGAGACATCGTACTTGCAGTGACAAGTAAAAGCCGTCATCTGGTCCTGTCAGCTCCGCCCAAATCTTGGTTGCTTCCTCCCAAGACATTCCCCTCTCTACACTAATCTGTAAAAGAAATCACGGGATTTAAATTAAATTAGCTCTGTAAATGCCCATCACACAATCGAACACGAACATGAACACACTTTTCAAACTTACTGTGTATAATTCTACGTGGCCAGAAGTTGAATATCCTGGAGTCAGAAACTTCTTAACATCACTTTTCCTCACCTTTTCATCTCCAGAACCAAGATCTTAAATGAGAAAAAGCAACATGTAAATGTAAAATGAACACTGATTAGGAATTCATGTGACATGTTAAAAATTCCTCACTTACCTAGGATTCCCATATCATATCTTCCATTTTTTTTGGCATTTTGCACAACGGCAGTAAGTGTGTCCGCAAAATACTGAAACAATGCATTCTGCTGATGCACCTCCATGCCCAGAATTCTATTTAAGAATTTTCCTATGTTGTTATAATCTGCAACAAGATTATATGAACAATTTCATGCATTCAAATGTTAATTAAAATTCTTCTTATCCCTCGAGACAAACTTCAACTTCCACATTATTTTGCAAAGTCTTCCCTTTCAACTCTTATGCTGTCCCTACAATAGGGCTATAATTTGCCCATTTCTACCTTTAGCCATTAGCACTGTAGTGCACATTTAGGACATGTTGGCAAATTGATTTTTGGCGTTTTCAACTTTGCTAAAGGAAAATTATGAACACAATTTAGAACTGGTTCATCAACATTAAATCTTCACTCAAGTTGGGAGCAGTGGCACATGCTTGTCAGCCAAGCTACTTAGGAGGCTGAAGCAGGTGGACTGCAAGTTCAAGGCCAGCCTGGACAACTTGTACGACCCTGTCTTTTTTTTTTTTTTTTTTTGAAACTGTCTTTAAAAAAAAAAACTTATTTTTATTTTTTAGTTTTAGGTGGACATAATATCTTCATTTTATACTTATGTGGTGCTGAGAATCGAACCCAGTGCCTCACGCATGCTAGGTGAGTGTGCTACTACTTGAGCCTCATCCCCAGCCCAAGACCCTGTCTTAAAATAACAAGGCTAGGGATACAGGTCAGTGGTAAAGTGTCCCTGGCTTGAATCCTCATCACAATAAACATATACAAAAAAACTTAGAACTAAGTTCTAAGTCCTATGAAAACCAGTGAATCTCAACCTTGTCTGGAACACTTGTAAGCTTTGGAAAACTACCACCATCTGTGCTCCACACCTGGAGCCAGTATTACTTAAGTTAAACAGCTGATCATATTTGCAGTCAGGTTTGAGAACTACTGCTCAGTAGGCGTAATAGACTTTTCACTTCATTTGAATAAACCACAATACCCAAAAGCACACAGAGTGGTCAATAATGATAGATTAAGAACTATTGACTAAGGCTGGGGATATGGCTCAGAGATACAGTAATCTTCCCTGGCATGCATGAGGCCCTGGGTTTGATCCCCAGCACCCAAAGACAGTGCAAAAACAAAAACAAGAACACAACTACTGACCTAAAAGCTTCCTCTCTGTTGACAAAAACAAATATGACAAAAATGGACTTCACTAATTTAAGCGTTACATGCACATACAAAGTTAACAATACTACCTTTATCAAGAGTAAGAATTCCCGAGCGATCTTCTACATTGATCAGGCCAACTCCTATCAGTCCTTGTCGAACATCTGTAAGAAAATAAATTTGTAAGAAGCCTAATTCAAACAATCCAATGAGCTATTACACAACTAACCTAACTAGATAAATAATTCTACGTTAAGATCCAGCCCATCCGGGCATGGTGGCACAGCCCTGTAAATTCCAGCTACTGGGGATGCTGAGGTAGGAGGATTACAACTTGGAGACCAGCTTGGGCAAGTTAGCAAGACCTCATCAAAAACAAAAAGGGCTGGGGATGCTGCTTAGTGGTAGAGCACAGGACTATCGTGTGGAAGACCCTGGGTTCGATCTCCAAGGACAGAGGACGGGGAAAAATTTCAACCTATATATCTTCCACAGTTCCAAGTAGATGAATAAAGTGATACTCACAGTCCCCAAAGGACTTTAGCCACTCCAAAATCCTGTAGTACTCAAACCTCATACTATATTACCTTCATTCTTGTTTTTTCTTTCCTAGGGTACGGGGGTTCAAACCCAGGACACCTTGTGCTTGCTAAGAAGGTGACTTATTGAAATGTATATACCCCTGGACCTTCATTAAAATATCTTTCCAATAGCAATACCACACAATGGAGACCTTTCTTTATGCAGCTGTCACGCACAGAATCTCAACCATTTTGGACAATCAGCAGAATATTGATCAAATAATTGTATAAATTAATAACATAATAATTCTTCTATCCAGATGTTACCATTATTGACAAAGTAATGCAAAAGGTAAATGACACGTAGTCAATATGCCTTGAATTCTAATACTAAGAGGGGAGTTTATGGACTCTTTTTTAAAAAAAGTAGGAGATTGGGAGTAGAGCTCAGTGATAGAGCACATGGCTAGCATGCACAAGGCCTTGGATTCAAACATGAGTATTGTAAAAGAAAGAAGAAAACCCAAACACCAAATACCAAAAGGAAAAAAAAAAGGTATATAGGTTCCAACCCAAACTTACAGAATAAGAGTAAATAAGCGAAGAGGGTCAACTCTGACCCAGACTTCTCCTTTTGGGAATCACTCCAATTGGGGAAAAATCACCTATATGTAAGGATAGCTGTGTAAGTTCAGCACTGTTTCTGGTGGCAAAAAATAGGAAACCATCTGAACAAAGTAAGTGAATAAACTGTCAGATTATTATTGCTATTAGCATGTATGAGACCCTGGGTTTGCTCCCTAGTACCATAAAATAAATGAACACAATAAGTAAATAAAAGAACACCCCAGCTGTTAAATAGAGAAAAGATGTGTAGTGCTGCCTCTGTTCAGACTGTCAATTTCTGTAATTTCAGGGTTAAAAATTAAATGTGACTATTAACTTGTCATTCTGGAGAGAGGGGTTACTAGAAATTGAGCCCAGGGTTGCTCTACCATTGAGCTACATCCACAGCTCCCCTTTTTTTGTACCAGGGATTGAACTCAGGGGCATTTGACCATTGAACCACATCCACAGCCCTTTTTTGTACTTTATTTAGAGACAGGGTCTCACTGAGTTGCTTAAGACCTTGCTAAGTTGCTGAGGCTGGCTTTGAACTCATGATCCTCTTGCCTCAGCCTCTAGAGCTGCTGGGATTACAGGCATACACCATCGCACCCAGCTCCACAGCCCATTTTTTATTTTGAGATAGGGTCTCACTAAATTGCTGAGGCTGGCCTCAAACTTAAGATCCTCCCACCTCAGCAGCCTCTTGAGTAACTGAAATTATAAGATATCCATCACCATGCCCAGTTTCACTATACTTTAGTTGATTTTCACTATTTACAATGAATAAGTGATCATTTAATAATAACAGTAATTTTGTATACTCCCTCCAATGATCAAAAAAGTGAAAGAGAAAGAGTCTCCTTTCTTGGTCATTGGAGGTCTCTGAAGGAAAATAAGAACTGAGTTAAAGCTTTGTCATTTCTTCTGTCAAAAGACAGGGATGATGACTACCCTTATCTGGAAGGTCAACATAGACTATTACAGATGCATATTAGTATGTCCTGATATACTGGAAAGCACTTTCTAGTGAAAAATGTCAATTCCACAATGACAACGCTTTAAGTTACCTGGTCTCTCCTTATATTTCAAAATATTTTCAGTTTTCCGAACTACTAAAATCTAAACTACTTATATTAACGGGGTGAGAAAAGTATAGATTTATAAATTTGGAATGAGTAATTTCCATAGTACTAGCAAGGATTTTTTTTTTAAGTATGAAAATTTCAAAAAAGAAGATCCTATAAGCCACATGTGCCCATTACCTAGTTTTTACAATGGTTACTATGTCCTTTCATCTGCAATCCCCACAAAACCCATCCCCCAGATTATTCACCTTGAGGTTTTTTTAACATTAAAATGAAATTTTAAAAGGTATTTGGCAGAGTGATTTAATTTTTAAAAAAACTACCCTCTTCAAGTAAGTTCAGTTCTAAGACAACATGCAATAAATTCTGCCAAGAGCAAAAGCACTTTCATATGAATTCAGTTACTTATAACCAATCTGTTTATTATAAAAAGTAAACTAAGTTATCTGAAGTTTAAGTTGTGTTCAAAGAAAAATAAAAACTAAAAAATAATAAATGTTAGAACAGATTTTAATATATTCCTGTCAGTAAGTATTCTTCATGGTTATGACTTTTTTGTTATCACTGTTTTTAAAAATTACCTTTAAAGAATTCTCCGGGATAGTCTGGAGGTGGTGATACCATAGGAGAGTCCAAATTTACAATGGATTTCATAACAATTTCTAAAGCATTTCTTCCATACTACAATAAAAACCAAAATATTTTAACCCACTTTCGGCACTTACAACATTTTTCAATTACATTTTAGACTGAATAAACTATTATTGTACTGAAGAATTCAAGACTAAAAGTTCTCAATTATCTATATATTTGATATGTCAGTACCTCCTACATGCTATGCAAGTGCTCTCCACATGCCACATTGTATGTCTATTCTGTTGCCGAGATCAAGCCTATGTACATATTGTTCAATAAACAATAATTTGCTTTACACTTCCAGGAACTTGCACTTGATTCATTCCTATTTATTATATTTCTATTTCCCAATAGAAGTGGAAAGATAACTATATTGCAGTAGGCTCACTAAAGATGTAACATATATTTGAAATTCCGTCTTAAAGGAAGTCATAATATAAAAGCAAAACTAAAACTGCAGGCAGAGTTTTCAATTATATTTTTGGCAGTACTGGGGATTGAATCCATGCCTCACACTTGCTAGTTAAGTGTTCTACCAGTGAGCTACAGCCCCAGCCCATTTTCAGTTTTAAACAGTAACCTCTTTTCCTTTTGTCACTATAGACATCACATACTTCCACAAGTTTTCAAAAATACTGAATGCCAAAACATACCTTATTATCAAAGTTGAACCTGCTCAGGTCCCTGGATTCTGTTGCTCGCCTGTCTCCATGTGTAAGGGCCCCCTAGCAAAACACAATTTCCAATCAAAGCATGGTTAGCCCCCTTACTAGAAGACAGGTAACACAGACCATCTTTTACACACTAGACTACTCAAAAACTTACCAAACTCTCAAGTCTTTTAGCAACAATAGATGCAAATCTTTGTTCTCCCGCCAACTCAGAAATCAAAAAGACGTACTCGGGAGCAGTAACTTGGTTTGATCTATGAGTTCTTCCTGTAACAACATTTTCTTAGATGTCAATGATTACATTCACTAGAGACGGATACTCTGAGATATTTTCCTAGCATTTAAAATTAAGCTTATACTGAATAACCCATTAAGAGGAAAACAAAGAAATTTTTAACATTTTCCATAGCTACCCAAAAGTACACAGGTGAAAATACTGACAAAAGAAATGCAAATTCAGAGGAATACTCCCCCCTTATGAGGAAACAGAACCTTTTGTGAGACTTAAATACTCAAAGTATTATTATTGCTTAGTTTTGGGTAACCATAATGTTGCTAATATGCGGGCACTTTGGATTCTGCCAAAATTGTTGACATTAAATTACCATGTGTCAGGAATATGAAAATGGAAAGCACTAATGATGTACCATTAGTAGAGCTCCTGAGGACTGAAAAAGGGACATGGAAGAAAGAGATGCTGTAACACAAACCCCATAAATCCTACAGGTCCAAAATGAAGATACTTGTAAGAAGCCCCATTCTTAGATAAAATGCCAGAAAGCCCATGAAGTCTCCCAGATATCTCTCTCTCTCTCTATTCAGGGGGCGGGCTTTGTATGCCACGGATTGAACCGAGGGGCACTTCACCACTGAGCCACATCCCCAGTGCTTTTTAATACATTATTTAGAGAGAGGTTCTCACTGAATTGCTTGGGCCTCACTAAGTTGCTAAGGCTGGCTTTGAACTCATGATCGTCCTGTCTTAGCCTCTGGACCCACTGGGATTACAGGCATGCACCACCATGCCCAGCGGATAGTTTTAAAAATAGAAAACAATTCATGAAGCACTATATGTCATAATGTATATACAATATACCTTAAATGCAAAATCCAAGATTTCAAGTTCTAAAATTTTATGTATGTACACACTTGCCCTATGATTCCCAGGATCCACCTGGTAAAATTCAGTGTAAGAACTCACCAAATTGTTGAATTGCTCTATCAGCACTCCATGGTAACTCCAAAGTCATATGAACTCTTCGCCTTTGATTTTTGGCTCTCCGATCTGCTTGTAATGAAATACCTGAGCTAGCAGCTTCTGAGATGATAGCAATATTCTATATTAAATATAAGAAAAAGAAAAATCACTTTTGTACACAAACAGGGCAGGCCCTAATTAAATACTATTTTCTGCCTTTCTCAATAATAGGACTCCCAGTTTTAGCTGGATACATGAATGCCTAGCTAGAATCATGATCAGCTATCCAAGTCTCCCTTATGGCTACAAGTGGGCTTGTAACCAGTTGGATGTAGATAGTAAGGTAAGTACAATATCCTAAAACGTGTTTAAATGTGGGGGACAATCTGGGCATGGTGGTACAGGCCTGTAATCCCAATAACTTCAGAGGCTGGGGCAGGAGGAGAGCAAGTCTTCTCTTTGGTAATACTGGAGACTGAACCCAGTGGCGGTCTTCCATGGACCTATACATGGCCAGCTCTTTTTACTTTGAGGCAGGGTCTTAGCTGCAGAGTCCTGGAACTTGTGATACTCCAGTCTTAGCCACCTGGGATTACAGGTGTGCAGTACCATGACTGCCTTTTATTTTTAGAAGACAACTTTAGGGGGTTGGGATTGTGGCTCAGCGATAGAGCGCTCGTCTAGCACGGGCGGGACCCGGGTTCGATCCTCAGCACCACATTAAAAAAAAAAAAAAAAGAAAGAAAGGAAAGAGAGGAAAGAGAGGAAGGAAAGGAAGGAAGGAAGGAAGGAAGAAAGGCATTGTGTTTGGGGGGGAAGACAACTTTAGGACAGAAGTTACATGCCTATTATTCTTTTTTAGTAAATAACTGGGACTATTTTACATGTTTTTATTATCATTTAATCATAAATTGAATACAATGAACCGGATATGGTTCTTGATAGTTTTGGGGTTTTTCTTTTTTAATGCACACTTGTGGATTCAATCCAGGGCCTTAAATATGCAAGGCAAACACTCTGGTACTGAGTTACACATCCTCAGCTCCCTTTTATTTTTACATAGGGTTTCACTAATGTGCCCAGGCTGATCTGCAATTTCTTGCCTCAGCCTACCAAGCAGTTGGCATTACAGGTGATAAATGTGAACCACCACACTAGGCATAGTTTTATAACATTTTTAAAAAAACAACTGTGAGGATGAAGGTTGTAGCAAAGTGATACAACACTTGCCTAGCATGCACAAGGCCACGGAGTCAATCCATAGAACCACATGGATTTGCGCACAAAAGGTAACTTTAATAGGGAAAAAAGCCCTAAAGCTTAACATATGGGAATTCTTCCTTTCCATTTTTTATAAATAAAAGCATCTAAGAAAGACATACCTTATCTCCATCCATAAATCTTTGTTTTTCTGTGATATTTAGTATTTCCACAGGCACATCAAGTTCAGATCTTGACTCATAAGATATGCTTCCATCGTCATTGCTCACAACCCGCCCCTTGCGGCCAGTCATCTGAGAAAAATGAAGACATTACAACAATGGTACTTGACTCTGGGGCATGCAACTCAGCAGCTCCTTCATTAAAGAAATTTAGGTAGCAGAAATAGACAATACTGCAACACAGTCCCTGAGAAAAACTGACACATGGCCAACATCACAAGGACTCTAATTCAAGTGTAGCAAGCACTGAGACTCAGGGCTCCAGACACACTTGTATACTGGAGAGAAGATTTCATCAGCTCCAGGACAACTAGAGTAGAATGAGTGTTCTAAGAGTTACCAGAGGAAACCAGAAAGATTATGATGTGGTGATACCCATGCCACAAGTCACTCCACAGGGCTTAAATACCACTCAGTTATAACTTTTAAAAGTGGCTACATTGTTACCAAAACGACATAGCTCTAATAAAGTCCCACACATTTACCTCAGCAACGTTCTCTGGACCACCAAGCTCATCAATAAGTTCATCCAGAGTATTAGGCGGCAGGTCTTCGGCAAGCTTTTCCAATTTATCCAGAAGGTCTTTCTTCATCTGTTGGGCCCTTTCCACAGCATCCTGACTTGTTATGAGGCTACTGTTACTGTTGGTATTACTATTAGCTAGATTTAAAAGAATATTTTTTAAAAAAATCAATACAAAGTTTAAAAACTTGTTTCATTTAAAAGTAAATTTTGGGGGCTGGGGTTGTGGCTCAGAGGCGTGCACCACTTGGTTTGATCCTTAGCACCTCAATCAATCAGTCAATAAACTGAAAGTCCAACAACTGAAAAAATATATATAAAGACTACACACACACACACACAGAAGAAAACCATATTAAAGATGGGTGTGTTGACCCATGACTATAATCCCAGTGGCTCAGGAGGATTTCAAGTGTGAGGCCAGCTTGGGCAACTTAGCCAGACTCTGTCTCAAAATAGAAAATAGAGGCTGGGGTTGTGCCTCAGTGGTAAAGTGCTTGCCTGGCATATGCGAGGTGTTGGGTTCAACCCTTAGCACTACATAAAAAAATGAACAAAGGTATTATGTCCAACTACAACTAAGGGGGGGGGGGGAGGATAACAAAGCTCACTGGTAGAGCACCTAAGAGTTCAGTCCATAGTACCACAAAAAAGCATATTTTAGTCAGGCACAGTGGCCTACTCCTATAATCGCAACAATGGGTAGGATGAGTCAACAGGGTGGCAAGATCAAGGGCATCCTTGGTAACTTTGTGAGACCATCTCAAAACAAAAAATAAAGAGAGCATTGGGGTTATAACTTGCATGTATGAGGCACTGGATTCGATTCTTATGCCACATATAAGTAAAATAAAAGTCCACTGATAACAACAACAAAAAACATTAAAATACTACAGGGCTGGGGATATCAACTCAGTGGTAGAGTGCCCTGACTTCAATCCCTACTGTCACAATAAATAAACAGCATACATTACAGATAAAGCACATAAGCACATTTCTACAAAGATACCTGGTGTACTGTTAGGAGCGGGTGAGATAACTGGTGTAGATGAAAAACTAGGTCGTTTTGATCCAAGACCTGATGCTAATAAGGCACTTTGAATAGAATCTGGATCTATACTCTTCTTCTTTTTTTTATCTTTGTTTTTTTTGTGATCTTTTCTGATTAACCAGGGATCTGAAAGTCAAGAAAAGATGTCAAATCATCTGTTGAACACACAATATTTAAAGAAGACAACCCCTAACCTTTGAATATTTTTATATTGTGAACTGATAGTTCTGAGTCGTCATCACAATGTCCAGTATAACCTTGCCATAAACACAGGCACCATCCCACATTTTGAAGTTCAATTAAAACAACTGCTCAAAACAGATTATCATCTGCCATAAATGAGGTTCAAACCTCCCAAAGACAGATAAGCTAGGAGCTTCCCACCAAGCAAAGGTTAGGACTATGTGACCATTTGTACTACACAGAAAAAAAGATGCTAATATTCCATTGTCAAATACCCTGGAGCATAATATCCTTCATTCACACCCAATACACAGAAAAACTTACCATCTTCATCATCTTCACTAGACTCATCTCTAAACGGATTGAAATCATCATCGTCTCCAGAGCTCATGTTTTTAGAGCTCTCATAGTCACTTTCTTCATTGTCAGAGGCATCGGACTCACTTCCACTGTCATCAGAACTGCTACCAGTAAGGCCACCAACTTTTCGAGCTTTTTTGGCTTCTCGAGCTATTTCTTCACCTACTCTCAAGTCGCAAAAAAGATAGTTAGCCAAAATACATTTTTAAAGAGCAGGACATCACACTTAGGTCATGAGTTAATTCAAATGAGAAGCACAGACGGAAAACATTTAGGCAAATATATAATTACAAAGAAAACTCGCAATCAAATGCTAACCTTTTGGTTATAACCTAACAACTCAGGTTATATTCAATCATTCTTGAGAAAAAAATCAGATATCCAAGAACATACTCCAGACCTGCTTACAAAGTGCACATATTTCAAAACAAATTCAGGACAAAAGACTTAAGATGGAATCTCTGGGCCAAACACAATTTCATTGTGTAACAGGTTGTGGGAAGAGCCCAAATAATAAATACAGGTTCATGGTCATGGAATACATATAAAGTATCAATTTATAAATTCTCATTTTTAAAGGTAAACAAGCTGTTGTTCTGAACTATTTTACTTATTATTTTAGTTCTGGGGACTCAACCCAGGGGTACTTTATCAATGAACTACATCCCCAACCCTTTTTTGCTTTTGAGACAGCCATTTCACCAGTTTCTCTAAGTTGCTGACACTGGCCTTGAACTTACTATCCCTGCTTCAGCCTCCTGCGTACCTGGGATTACAGGCATTTGCAATGAAACCCTGCCCAAATCCTTCATTTTTCATTTTGCGAAAAGGTTAGGTAAAGTTGCTGAGGCTGACCTTCAAATTGCAATCCTCCTGTCTCAGCTTCCCAAGCCACTAGGATTACAGGTGTGCACCACCATGCCCAGCCTAAAGGCTCTTTGAATTCCTCACGCAACTCTATTTATTAAAGGCAGTTCTAACGATTGAAAGTCCCAGATTTTGGTCCACATGGCATTGTTCATTAGCCATGTGAAGCTGGAACATTCCTGAACCTATTTATCTTTTTTTGTGTTTTTGTTTTCCTGTCTATAAAACTAAAAAAGCAAAATCTAATTTCCTACGACCTCTGGTGGGTTAAATAACATAATATATGGTCAAATGCTTGACCACAGCGTCTAGCACCTGTCAACTGTTCAAGATCTAAATTAAAACAGGGTATAGTTTCACACTCAATACTACAGAAGCACACCAGTGAAAACTGACCACCTCTTGCCAGTATGAGGACAGTAGTTCATTCATAAAACAAAGTTGTTTCAAAATATTCAAATTTGGGCTAGGGATGTGGCTTAAGCGGTAGCGCGCTCGCCTGGCATGCGTGCAGCCTGGGTTCGATCCTCAGCACCACATACAAAGATGTTGTGTCCGCCGAAAACTAAAAAATAAATATTAAAATTCTCTCTCTCTTTAAAAAACAATTCAAATTTAAGTTCTTTCAACATTAACATTTAAGGAAAAGCACTCACCTTTCCGCTTCTTTACTTTACTTTCTTTACAAGGACTATCTCTGGGTGAGCTGTTATTACTTGGAGCCGTCAGATCAATTCCCAGCAGACTATAAAGTTTCTTTCTATCTGGAGCAGGGAAGTGTTTTTCAATGAGTGACTGTAGGACTCCTCTGTAGGAAAGAGAATAATTTATTACATGTAAAGTCCTACTAAATATATTTCTATGAAAAAAATACACTTTATTCAATCTTACAAAACACAACCCAGTTCAAATAAATTCTAATTTTCTAGGTCAAATCTGTACAATTATTATACTGTACACAAAATCACATAAGCAATTTTCATATGTCCTCATAGCTACACTATAAAGTAAAAGACCTGGGTATAGTAGAACATAACTGTAGTCCCACTACCTGGAGGCATGGCAGGAGGATCATTTGAGCCAAGACCAGCCTGGGCAAAATAGCAAATACTGGGAAAAGGAAAAAAAAAAACAACAACAACAAACCAACCCCCAAACCAGCTACTCAGGAGAATCCCAGACTGGGCAACAAAGTGACCCAGTATTTGTGAGGCCCTGGATTTACTTCCTGGTGCCACAAAATAAACACAATAAAATTCATTATTTGGGGGGGGGGGGGCAAGGTGTAGTGGCAGATACCCTTAATCCTTTAATATTAGTGACTTGGGAGGCTAATGCAGAGATATCACAAGTTCAAGGTTAACCTAAATAAATTATATATTCAGGAAAATATATAATTACAAAGAAAACTCGCAATCAAATGCTAACCTTTTGGACTCCCCTAACAACTCAGGTTATATTCAATCACTCTTGAGAAAAAAAATCAGATATCCAAAACCCTGTTTCTAAAAAATAAGTGAATAATAAAATGGCTGGGATGTAGCTCAATGGTAGATAGCCAGAATTTAATTCATATTACTACAGGAAAATATAAACTTGATAACATTTTAACGCAATATAGCACTTCAATGTTTAATAAGATGTTTTATATTTTTTTCCTTAGGAAGCCTTTGAAATCTGGTGTGTATTTTACATTAATGGCACTAAATCTGGAAAGGTCATTTCAACTGCTCAATAGCCACATGTGACAGGTGATAGTTCTAGTTCTAGGCAGTTAAGTACAGAAAAATACAAATTTTGCTAAGCTGTTCTCAGTTGTATTTACCTGTATTCCCAAAGGCAAGAAGGAGTATAAAGATTATATACTAATTTTATTATCAGAATTTTTTAAGATTTTGGAAGATCTCAGGTCTATTTTTTTTTTTTTAGGTATGGGGATATATGGGGGGTTTTCCATATTTTCTAGCATATCTTATAATGGGGCTGACTACAGTTACTATTCTTCTGAGAAATAAAAAATACATAAAGCTTAACTGAAACCCAATCACATTGTCACATATTTCTAAGATGTACAACACAAAAATTAAGTTCTTCTGTTAGTTCACATATTATGTGTAATACTGGCAAAATGCTTAACATTTCAGGATCATGAGATTTTTATATTATTAATTCCCAAAAGACATTGCAATATAAACAAGGACAGAATTGCAAAAACCCAGAAGGGTAAACTTTTGAAAATATAAGTGAACAAAAAATTCTGCCTCAAGGAAATGCCAACATTTGAACTAATCTAAGTAAAAACTCAAGAAGAAAACCAAAAATGTTACTTGGCAGTTGAAACAAAATCATTCAATTCTCCTCCGCCCTCTTCCAAGGCTTCTAAAGTCCTAGCTTCTCCTGTGGACTGCAGACCAATTACGACGCACTGGAGAAAAGAAAATGTATTTATTATAAGTGTATTTAATATAAATAAAAATATATTTATGGTTTCTTATGAAGACATATTTTCAAATAGTGAAAACTTGTTTAAAGAGTCAAAGAATGGGCCTGTAATTCCAGCAGCTCAGGAGGTACAGGCAGGAGGATTGCAAGTTCAAAGCCAGCCTCAGCAACAGCAGGGAGCTAAGCAACTCAGTGAGACCCTGTCTCTAAATAAAATATAAAACAGGGTTGGGGATGTGGCTCTGGGGTTATGTGTCCTTGAATTCAAAATTTTCATAGAATGACACCATTAATGTAAAGAATGTTTGATTCATTACATATATTTGAGATATACTATATCTCAAAAACTCAGGAAATAGATTATAAATAGCAAGCAAGATTACTATTCCTGACTTTAGGGAGTTTACAGCTCTTGTGTTTTAAGTAGATACTATATTCATCAAGGGTTAGGGTTGTGGCACAGTGGTAGAGCACTTGCCTTGCATGTATAAGGCACTGGGTTCAATTCTCAACACCTCATATAAACAAAATGAAGGCATTCTGTCCATCTACAACTACAAAAATTTTTCTTTAAAAAAAGGCTGGTGATGTAGGGCTGGGCTGTGGCTCAGCAGTAGACCGCTTGCCTAGCATGTGCGAGACCCTGGGTTCAATCCTCAGAACCACATAAAAATAAATAAATAAAATGAAGATATTTAAAAAAGGGGGACCACGATGCAGCTCAGTAATTAAGTGTCCTAGTTTCAATCCCCCATGAAAGTAAAGAAAGAAAGGGAAAAAAAAAAAAAAAAACAGTTTAAGGAGATACACATCCCCAGATCATTAGCAGTGACAGGTAGGGATGGCAGACATAGAATTATTTATTATATCATATACTGAACTATCTAAAAAATGTTCTAAACAGACACTGGTTTTATGGTTTTAAAAAAATCTATGTTTATAAGTTTTAATACATTAACATATTTGCAACTATTCTTCAGAAGATCCAACTCACAAGTAGAAAAAACACCCACAAAACCAACAACTTAAGGAAAACCAATAAGTCTTCCCCAACTTACTTTTCCATTCTTGATTTCCTCCCGAGCTAGTTGCACAACCCTTTTAACTTTGGATGCTATGCACAAGTATTTGAAAAACCTCTGGTGAGCGGACCAGAACTGACCCCACATGGACTTCTTCATTCGTTGTTCGGCATCAATCAGATCTGCAGCTTGCTGAAACCGCTCTCTGGCAATGACCCACTGAAGATACAGAATCAACATTTTACATATTTCATCTATGAACACAGCTATATAATGTAGTTATTCAATCTTCAGTAACTGGGAATCAAAATTTCTTAATACATAATGCAGTTATCTTACAGGATATAGCTACATTATAATTTCAAAATTCATGTAACCGAAATAAATGGAAAACCTGGAAAATTTGGGAAATGATGACTTGGGTAAATAGCGTGTCATAATATTTATTTGTTGTTTCACAGCGAAATGGTTTCTTGTGGGCTGAGACATTACAATGGACAGACCTAACAGAAGTCTTATCAATTACATTAAAAGCATCAGAAATTAAGAAACATTTCTCACCAGCTTGACTGCTTTGTTATACATTTTAACATAGCTCTGAGAAAGAAGAACTTCCTCAATTTTGAAGGTCACTCCAGTAAAGCTCAGCTGTCGGGCAATGTACATTCCTCTAAGCTTCATATCCATGGCAACAATTTCCATGGCACCAACCCCTCTGAATAAAATTAAAACACACAGTAACTATCAGTAAATAAATTAGAACTTAACATACAGTGATGGGGTTTTAGCAGTAACACATCTATTAAAGATTCCTAATGGGAAAAGTATGCGCCATAAGCCATATTACCTGCGTTCCACTGCTTGAATAAAATCACTGAATTCTCTAAATGGAGTTCCCTCACCCCATATTCCAAGACGGTTCATGTAGGCCATGTTGCGCGGTTCAGAAGCACCTGGAAAACCCCCAAATATATCAGAACTGCAAAAATGGCATATACCTATCTCTGTTTTTTTTTTTTTTAAACAAAGTTGGTGTTATTTTATTTGGACCTTTTTTATTTTGTTAATTTATATGAATCGAACTCTGTGCCTTGCATATACTAGGCAAGTGTTCTACCACTGAACTACAACCCCAGCCCCACCTATCTCTTTACATTAGAAAACTACTTACCAGTGGCACTAGCATAAACAACTCTGGCTTTTGGCAATTTGTTCTGAAGCTCCAGAACTGCTAAGCCTGTCTTGGTTGGCTTTGAAGAACCAACAGGACAAAGGTTTTTTGCTTTATGACATTCATCAAACACTATCTATTAGGAACAAATTAAGGAACATATCACATTAATATTAAATGCCATGGAAGGAGACCCTCATTGTTACACAAATTACATATAAGAGGTTGTGAGGGAAAGGGGAAAAAAACAAGGAGAGGGGCTGGGGATGTGGATCAAGTGGTAGTGCGCTTGCTTGGCATGCATGTGGCCCGGGTTCGAACCTCAGCACCACATACAAACAAAGATGTTGTGTCCGCCGAAAACTAAAAGAATAAATATTAAAAATTCTCTCTCTCTCTCTTTTAAAAAAAAAAAAAAAAACAAGGAGAGAAATGAATTACAGTAGATGGGGTAGAGAGAGAAGATGGGAGGGGAGGGGAGTGTGGATAGTAGAGGATAGGAAAGGTAGTAGAATACAATAGTTACTAACATGGCATTATATAAAAATGTGGATGTGTAACCGATGCGATTCTGCAATCTGTATTTGGGGTAAAAATGGGAGTTCAAAACCCACTTGAATCTAATGTATAAAATATGATATGTCAAGAGCTTTGTAATGTTTTGAACAACCAATAAAAAAAAAGAAAAAAAAAAGAAAAGCTACTGAGTAAGGTTAAAAAAAATATTAAATGCCTATGAATTTTCAGCAAAAATTAACTTTTTCTTTGATGTCTTCTGGTTTTCTTTTCAAGATTACAGGCGTGGGCTGAGGATGTGGCTCAAGCGGTAGTGCGCTCGCCTGGCATGCGTGCGGCCCGGGTTCGATCCTCAGCACCACATACAAACAAAGATGTTGTGTCTGCCGAAAATTAAAAAAATAAATATTTAAAAAAAAAAATTCTCTCTTTCCCCCTCTTCAAAAAAAAAAAAAAGTGGTGAGCCAGATCATTAAAAAAAAAAAAAAAAAAAAGATTACAGGCGCATAGGAAGATCTCTATGTGCTTCTCCTCTATTTCATCCCCTGCCCCCCCCCTCCCAGGCTCTGAGGAATCCACTGAATTTGGTATTTATCTTAACCACTGTGTATGTGAACAGTACTAAGAATTAAACCTATGAGCACTTTACTACTGAGCTACATTACATCCCCAGTCTTTTTAAATTTTAAGACAGGGCTAAGGCAGGTCCAAAATTGCATTGCTCTTGCATAAGCCTCCAGAATCACTGGGACTACAGGAATACACCAAGCTGTCCAGCTATTTTTTAAAATCCTGAGACAGGGTATGGCTAAATCACCCAGCTGCGCAAAGACTTGTAGTCCTCCTGCCTCAGCCTCCCAAGCCGGAATTCCAGGCAAGTGGCGCTGTGCCTGAACAGATATTTAAGTTCTTAATTAGAATGAAAAAAAAATACCTGCTGCAAGAGAGATATTTTGGTAAAAACTATGTACTTAGAAGAATAATTGGCAACTAATTTAACCAGCACTTTAATTTAACCAGGACACTTTATGTCCCTCATGCAGGACGATATAAAATGTGCTATGAACAAATACATTTTGAAAAAAATATTCTCAGGTACTAAATGTTTAAATATGCAATATAAATCCCCACATAAGTTAACAGGGGGCTGGGGATGTGGCTCAAGCGGTAGCCGGCTCGCCTGGCATGCGTGCGGCCCGGGTTCGATCCTCAGCACCACATACAAACAAAGATGTTGTGTCCGCTGAAAACTAAAAAAGAAATATCAAAAAATTCTCTCTCTCTCCCTCTCACACACTCTCTTAAAAAAAAAAAAAAAGGTTAACAGAATAATTCAGAATTCCCCTATATATAAACACTTCCCAAAACCAGGAGTTTAAATATTGATGCACTATCTGACAGATTTTCCAGGTGCCTTAGACTCTAATCATTAAAGTGCTCATTTTCAAAAATTATTAAACTGAGCATTCTTCCTTTGTGAAGGTACTTCCTTACAAATCTTTGTGCAATTAAGAAATATAAAATAAATACAACTGTCATAAAGGATACCACTCCATCGAAGTCATCACCGCACCAATGCAGAAGTTGTTTTAACCTAGTTTTATATTTACCACCAGATTGGCTTTCACCAATAAGGGAAGAATAGGTAGCAAAAATAACACCCTTTTTCACACTCCCATTATGTTTGGAAGAAATTTTTCCATATTTAAACTAAAAAAAAAAAGAGAGAGAGAGAAGAATGTGATTAGCATACCTTTCTCTTGGAAACATTTATCCCATCCCAACCTCTTCACCTGGTAGGCTCAAGACAAGTACAGAAAAATCAAACTACCACTTAAGACAATACGCAAAATTTCTTGTATGTACATACACACACTTTTTGGTACAGGATTTACTTTTCAAATTCAAGAAAATCTATCACCAAAACATGAAAACCAAACTCCCCTAAGAAAAAGGTACAATACTTACTCCACAAATATTTATTGTAGACTGATTATATGGCAGGCACTGTGATTTAAGTTCTAAGAGTATGGATTTATGAGTAATAGTTAATACGCTCTTACTCATCTATACTGCTCAAAAATAAAAACCATTTGTAGATGCCAGTTGCATGTTTTTAAATTGTTCGTAGTCAAAACAGTGTTTTTAACTGCCCATCAATTCAATTCATTATTCAGATCCCCTGTTCATCAGTGACTTGCTTATTGGAGAGGCAACAGCAAAAAATGAACCAATTTAGGACTCACTGGGAAAGTAGACTTACATGTACTTTTTTTTTATTTGCACTCTACCACCGTGCCACAACCCCAGCCCCAACATGTACTTATTTTTAAGGATAATGGGGAGTCATTTGTAGGTCTGTCACATGTACCTTTACAATTAAAAGATGCACAGAATGTTAATAAAGCTTTCCTAAATGAACAATAAGGTTCTAATCAAATTAAAATTTGCTTTAGACACCAACATACATTTTCTTGCAGACACGCAAGTCCATTAGCTGGACAAATACTGAAAACAGTCTAAAAGCCAATTTCCAACATACACTACAGGGGATTTGGTGACCTAAAATGACAGGCACACTACCTTTCTACACTACCCTTATAGCCATAAAAAATTACTCTAGAAACTAACACTGAAGACTTAGAGGCTAAATGCTATTACAGCAGGGAACTTGCCTATTTTGCTTGCTACTATATGACAAAGAGTCAAACCCTCAAAGAGCAGCTGGCACTCACTACCCTTTCTATGGAATAGCTCATTTAATCCTCAGCAACTGTGGAAAGAGTAGAAACTATTACTCCCATCTCAAAGAGGAGTCAATACTTTACTAAATTTCCAACTGAACAGGAAACTTTCATACCTTATTTAATGAATGAACCAAAATGTTTTTTGCTCCAATATCCCTCAAATCTCTTTCAGCATCATACTTTAAGTCATTTGAAACACTAAACCTGTTTTAAAGAAAAAAAAAATTAAATGCAAATCACATCATTCTAGAATTCAGGAATAAAGCCAGGTTTTGACACTTCAAAAGACCTACACACTAAAACCCATCTCTATATGAAGTTAATTATTCAGAAATGAGAGCTACTGAAGACAAACCAAACTCTTACCATAATGCTCTTTTTCTACTCAACAAGTAATTTTCATAGATGATTCCTGCTATCGTCCTGCCTTTTCCCACACCTGCACCATCACCTATTAGGAAGCCAGCTCGATCTCCATTAGGTAGGAATGTTTCATGTTGCTGAAAAAAAAAAATGGTTAGTGTGTAATCCTATATACGTGTATGGTTTTTTTATATTTATTTTTATTTATTTATTTTATGTGGTGCTGAAAAATATATGTATATATTTTTTAAATGATTTTACTTATTTGTTTTCAGTAGTGCTGAGAATGTAGCCCAGTGTCACACACACGGTAGGCAAGTATTCTACCACTGAGCTACAACTTCAGCCCCAATCCTATATATATTTTTATCTTTCATATATGGTTTAAAGAACATACTGACTTCACCTATTTTTACATGAATTATAAAGGGTTTAGTACTTCAAGGTAAATACTCTTTAAAGACTTATCACATTTTCTTCTCTTATTTTCCCAGTCATCAAAAACTCAGGCTATAAAATGGTGAAAAATCGTCCATACCCCTTTCAACATTTACATACTCAAATGCAAACTTCTATGTCACACGTGATTTGGGGTGGTGTTAGCTATGTAAGTCATTAATTTCAGAGAAATAAAAAATGTCTAAAATCCTTTCAACACTGGTGTTTAACTCTAGGTCACATAGCTTTCAAGGCCTATTGAATACGCCTTGCAATGTGGTCACATATATTTACTCCATCATCCACAAAAGTAGGAGCAGTCTATCTTTCCAGCTTTGGGTAGTAACAAATATCCACACATACGTATTTTTATTTTTGGTACTGGGGATTGAGCCCAGAAATGCTTTACTACTAAATTATATTTTTATTTTTAATTTAAGACAAGTTCTCAATTGCTAGTACAGGTCTTAAACTTGTAATCCTCTTGACTCACACAGTGATTACCAGCATGGGCCATTGTGCTTGGCTTTTTTTGTTTGTTTTGAGGTACTGGAACCCAGGGATGCTCTACCACAAAGCTACATCCCCAGTCCTTTTACTCCCAGCAACTCAGGAGGCAGAGTCAAGAAGATCACAAGTATAAGGCCAGTCTCGGCAAACTTGGTGAGACCCTCGCTCAAAAAAAAAACTTAAAAAAAAAAAAAAAAAACCACAAACAAAAACACTGGGGATATGGCTCAGAGGTAAAATACCCGAGTTCAATCCTTAATACAAAAAAATAAAAATAAAAAAGATTTTCATGCAAAAAAGCTACCTTTCAACTAAAATAACCATAGTATACAGACTCAGGTAAAAAAAAAACATATATATTATATATAATTATGAATTCTTACTTACCTGGGCTGCATATGTAACTGCTTCAAGCTGTAAAGCTGATAACCAGCCATTATCAATGGTCTCTTCAGAAATAGATGTTTTGTACCAAACATCAGGAGGAGTAACACTGGATAAAGAGCTAGTTTCCACTACAGCATCTGGGTGACGCAGGCCAATTTTCACTAGAAAATTTTTAAGATACTTCATTTATAACATTCTAATAACATTTCCAGTTTTATTCTAACATTTTTCTTAAAACAAGAAAATAAATAACTACTCCAAGGTTGTAGAGAAAAAGTTACTGATAATAAAGTAAATAAATTTGGCTAAAATGAGTAACAACTGCATATGATTTGGACAGAGACACAATGATAAGGTCTAATTTTAAAACTCAGAAATTAATTGGGCATTGTGGGCATGTGTATAGTCCCAGGACGTCAAGACAGGAGGATCGCTCCAGTCGATGAGTTTAGAGGCCAGCCTGGGCAACATAGCAGGACATTATTTCAAAAAATAAATAAAGTAAAAAAAAAAAAATTCAAAGACACGAATTCAGTGCACACCATCAGGTTTTCCAGAAATAACTCATTAATCCTAGGTTATACCTCACTCATTTCATTCAGAGAAATAAATCTGTAATCTGATTTTACTTTGAAAGGAAAACCCTACCTATAATATTAAAGAGCAATTAACTCCTCACAATGTAGAACACTAATAATCTTAAATGGTGGCAAATGTTTTCTGATCAAATAGTAAATATTTTCAGTCATACAGCTTCCCCTGTAACTACTACAGTGGAAAAGCAGCCATGGACAGTAAATACACCAACGAGTATGACCATGTTTCAACAAAACTTCATTTACTAAAGCAGGGAATGGTTCGGATTTCATCTGCTAACCTCTGTTTTAAAAGGTCATAGGCAGCTGGGCTCAGTGGTGAATACCTGTAATCCCAGCAGTTCAGAAGGCTGACACAGGAGGATCTCGAGTTCAAAGCCTGCCTCAGCAATGGTGAGGTGCTAAGCAACTCAGTGAGATCCTGTCTCTATGTAAAATACAAAATAGGGCTAGGGATGTGGCTCAGTGGTCAAGTGCCATGGGGTTCAATCATCAGTTCCCTTGTCCCTCTCAAAAACAAACAAAAAATAGACAAGTTCCTGACCCTCTCAAAATAAATAAATAAAAATCATAGACAAATTCTTGACCCTTGTGTGAAAACTTTAAATTTAGAAGAAAAAAACAATTCCAGACACCATACCCACCCCGTTTGATATTCTTTTTTTTTTTCCTTTCCTGTACTGGGGGTTAAACTAAGGGTCACTCAACTGCATTCTTACCCCTTTTTTTATTTTGAAACATAGTCTCAGTAAATTGCCCAGATTGATGTCAAATTTGCAATCCTCCTGGCCCCAGGCTTCCAAGTTGGTGGCATATATGTGTACATCCCCACTCCTGGCTCAAACCCAATGGCTCATGCATGCTAGGCAAGCACTGTACCACAGAGCCACAACCCTGGCCCAGAAAACTCATTTTAAATATTTAGTGTATCAGGGACAACATGAAGTTGGTCAACAGAATTTTAGTTCAATTTAAATATTACTATTGTAGGGGCTGGGATTGTAGCTCAGTTGGTAGAATGCTTGCCTAGTGAGCGTGGGACACTGCGTTTCATTTGCAGCGCCATATAAAAATAAAATTAAGGTGTTTTGTCTATCTAATAGGAAAAAAAACAATAAAACACTTTTTTCCAAGATTTTTAAAAATACCTTTGTTAAACCCCAGCCCTTGGGCTGGGGATGTGGCTCAAGTAGTAGCGCACTCACCTGGCATGCGTGAGGCACTGGGTTCGATTCTCAGCACCACATAAAAATAAAGACATTGTGTCCACCTAAAACTAAAAAATAAATATAAAAAAAAAAACCCAGTCCCTCCAACATTTTTTTAAAATATTTTTTTAGTTGTTGACAGACCTTTATTTTTATTTATTTGTATGCGGTACTGAGAATCGAACCCAGTGCATCACACATGCTAGGCAAGCGCTCCACCACTGAGCTACAATCCCAACTCCATTTTTTTTTAGTATTTATTTTTTAGTTGTAGTTGAACACAATACTCCTATTTCGTTTATTTATTTCTATCTGGTGCTGAGGATCAAATCTAGTGCCTCACGCGTGCCAGCCAAGCGCTCTATCCCTGAACCACAACCCCAGCCCAATAAAAATATATTTTTTAAAAAATAAATATTAGCAGCTTTTTACAAATTCTAAAATTTATAAGATATTTTCTAGACATAGATTTTCATCCATGATATTACCCACACAAAATGAAAAAGTAAAAATTTCTATATAAACACTTAAAAATAATTAAATTTCAACTTTATAGAGTGGCCACTAAAAAAATTAATCATGGATATTATCTTATAGGCAAAAACTATGTTAAGAAAAATCAGTGATTTTTTTTTTAAACATTTATTTTTTAGTTGTAGTTGGACACAATACTACCTTTGTTTATTTATTTTTATGTGGTGCTGAGGATGGAATGCAGGGCCTCACACATGTTAGGCAAGTGCTCTACCACTGAGCCATAGCCCCAGCCCAAAAATCAGTTATTTTTAAATAGCACAAGTTATTTAAAAGTCCAATGTCTTTATGCTTTTGAATAACCTGTGCAAAATATACATTATTACATATATTTACATCTCTACAATTTGTTTCGATTTTATAAGCTCTATTTATTTGAGCAAAATAAACTTTAAACAAAATATAACCCAAGAATTTCTTTTTTTTGGTACTAGGGACTGAACCAAGGGTATTTAAACACTGAGCCACATCCCCAGTCCATACTTTATGTTTTGTTTTGAATCAGGCCTCACTAAATTTGGTGAGGTTGGCTTTGAACTCAAGATATCCTACCTCAGCCTCCCAAGCTGCTGGGATTACAGGCATGCACCACCATGCCCAACTATAACCTAAGAATTATTAATCTTAGTTTTAAAAAAACTTCAACCTGGGGGCTAGGGTTATGGCTCAGTGGTACAGTACTTGCCTAGCATGTATGCATGAGGCGCTGCGTTCGATCCCCAGCACTATATAAAACAATAAGTAAACAAAATAAAGGTATTGAGTCCATCGACAACTAAAAATATTTTAATCTTCAATCTATAACAAAGTTTTCAAATTGTGTAGAGGAAAAAAAATCCTCAGTAAAATTTTCATATAGCTTTACTTATTCTTATGGTACTGGAAACTGAATCCAGGGACCCTCTACCACTCAGTTATATGCTCACTCCTTTTTGTTTTTTATATTGAAGTAAGATAAAATTTCAATTTCTCAGGCTTGCCTCAAACTTGCAATCCTTTCTCAGCCTCCCTCCTAGTTGAGATTACAGGCAGGCATCATTGCACCCAGCTAACGTAACCAAAACACATTATAAAACTTATATTAGTCAAATCCTATGGTATTCAATACTAACAAGTTCTAATGGATAAAAGTGAGTACGGGAGCCAGGTGTACATGCCTGTAATACCAGCTACTTGGGAGGCTAAAGCAAGAGAATTACAAATTCAAGGCCAGTCTAGGCAATTTATTAAGACCTTGTTTCACAATAAAACAATATGGAGCCAGATGTGTGGCAGATGCCTATAATTACAGTGATTCGGGAGGGTGAGGCAAAAGGATCACAATTTCCAAGCCAGCCTCAGCAACTTAGCAAGGCCCTAAGTATCTCAGCGAGACCCTGTCTCAAAAGAAAAACTAAAAAAGGGCTGTTTCTGAGAGATTAAGCAACCTTGGGCTCAATCCCCAATACCACAAAAAGATAGTGTAGAGAAGAGTTATTTAAATTCCAGAGGAACCCAGAAGTCTTATAATTTTGACAAATCCCAAAGACTTACACTTTATTGGCATATATTCAGCATAGGTTTCTGCATGACCCATTTCTTCTTCATCTTCTTCCTCTGGTTCATCTTCCTCTTTTACAACAGGAACCTTCTGTAACAAAGAAAATATCATCAATACCAAGTCCAGAAGCCAGAGGCCCAGCCAACACAGAAAAACTATTCTGCGGGAATATCCACAATCTTTATACCTGGAAAGTTTGTAATGTCACCTCTTGCACATTTCCTAAAAACTTAAGTCATACTTTGCAACTTCCCTGCTTCTCTAATGATAAGCACAGCCAACAGCAACCCACTCTACTCCTTACAGACAAATCAGTAACCACAGGGCTCCAATCCCTCAGTCACCATTATCTGGAACTATTTTTCCCTTCAATACTACCTCTCTGTTACCCACATCTCACTCTAATATCTCAGTCCTCCTCATTCCAATTCCAGTGCTAGAAAGAACAAGGAATGTGAAGACTAAAAGTGAAATAGCCCAACACAGAGTCCATGCAATCACAGCAGAACTAAGTCTCACATCGGGACCACCTTCTCATTCCACTCCCTCGTGTCTTCTTTCCCTCAGATGCTAACATCAAAACTCAAGAGATTCTGGAGTTTAAAGACTCTTCAAGAGTACAGAGAATTTACTCAAGACTTCTGTTTCTCCACAATCACAACAAGCACACATAAGGTGGCCACAGACTTCATTCTTCAAACCTAACACACTTGAGGGTAAAATGGAGTGCTATAAACAGTTACACTAAGAAACAAAGAATAAACCAAGACTGTCCCTGATAAATCCAGGGAATGGACCAAATGTTACAGAGAAGGGAATGAAAGGGAATGGGAAGATCCTGAACATGTCTTTCTTCACTACCAGTAAAACCATTAAACAGCTCCTTATTCCAGGAACAGCAGAGAAAATGTTGTGAAACTCAAGTGTATCAAGAAATCAGAGGGCTGTGGATGTGGCTCAAGCGGTAGCGCGCTCGCCTGGCATGGGTGCGGCCCGGGTTTGATCCTCAGCACCACATAAAGATGTTGTCCGCCGAAAACTAAAAAATAAATATTAAAAAATTTCTCTCTCTAAAAAAAAAAGAAAAAAGAAATCAGAAAGGGCTAGGTTGTGGCTCAGTGGTAGAGCACTTGCCTCGGACATGTGAGGCTCTGGGTTGATCCTCAGCACCACATAAAAAGTAAACAAAGATATTGTGTCCATTTATAACTAAAAAAAATTTAGAAATATTTTTCAAAAGGGCTGGGGTTGTGGCTCTGCGGTAGAGCATTCGCCTTGCACTTGTGAGACCCTGGGTTCGATCCTCAGCACCACTAAAATTAAATAAATGAAATAAAAGTATTGTGTCCAGCTACAACTAAAAAATAAATCATAGCAAGGAGAAAGAGGCAGAAAACCTAGTCAGAAATTCTAGAGTAGAGAGATCCCTGAAAGGTAAGGCAGGTTTATTTCTCTCATTATTTGCCTGAACCTGGAGAATATGATGGCACAAAGATGCTCAGTGTGAAAAGGAAAAGGGGTATGTGTACATGTGAGAGCACGTGGGGGACCCACTAATCAGTACTGACGGGATCCTGAGATTGAATCCAAAGTACTCCAAAAGTTCTTAGAATTACACCAAAATGAAACCTAATTTCAGAAACTGGAAACCAATGGGACTGGCAAGAAAAACAAAACTGATTCCCAATTCTGTTTTTTTTTTTTTTTTTAATATTTGTTTTGGTTTTTGGTTTTTTTGGTACTGGGGATTGAGCTCAGGGGCACTCTACCATTAAGCCACATCCCCAACCCTATTTTGTATTTTAGTTAGAGACAGGACCCCACTGAGTTGCTTAGCAACCTGCTTTGTTGAGACTGGCTTTGAACCTGCTATCCTCCTGCCTCAGCCAAGCTGCTGGGATTACAGGTGTGCAACACCACACCTGGCATCAGTCCCCTTAAAAAAAAAAGTTTTAAATAGGTTGTCACTAAGTTTGGCCTTGTACTTATGATTCTTCTACCCCAGCCTCCTCAGTAGCTGATACTATAAGCATGCACAACTGCCGCTCACAGTTCAACACCATTTCTAAGCCAAGTGGTTGTGAAATGGCAACTAACAACAAGTTTTGGATCAAGGAGATAATGGGTTGAGGGAAACCATGACTCCTGGGCAATGCCTGCCAACACACAATGCAGACATTCACTACTCAACACTAGGCAAATTTTACTAGGCAAAGAACGAGGGCCTAGGGCTGTCAGATACACTGTTTTTCAAAAATCAGGATTTATGTGGCAGCAACAAATTCAAAATTACTCAAAATATTGTAAATGCCAAAGGGGAAAAAAAACTGTCACCTAGTTTTGGTTCACAGATTACCAATTTGCAATGTATTAGGTGTTTATTCACAAGTAGACTAACCCAGAACTTTTAGGATACTATGGGCAAATTGGTCATGGATTGTAATGGGAACATGAGTAATAAATATATCAAATGTCTCTAAAAGAATAATGCTTTGCTACTGTTATACTAAGTAAACTGGATGTTGCTAGTATGTGGTCTCCTGGTCCCTATTCAAAATCCAAGATACAGGTGCTGTGCAGTCTCCAACAGCCACATCTCATTTTCTTTTTTTTTCTCTTTTCCCTTGCTCTTTTCAAATTCCCTCCTATAATTCTCCTAGGTTAGTCCCTCATTACCTCACTTTTAGATTACTAACCAGTCTTCAACCTGCCTCTCTCCCTACCCATCCTGAGTCGCTAGCAGGCTTCTCCCTTTCCTCCAGTGGCTCCACCAAACTGATGTTCTTTAAGCTCAATTCAGGGCCCTCCATAGAACCTTCATCTTTCACTGTAAGTTCTTCCTGCAAATCATACCTCCTTCATAAGTAAAAAGCTTCATGGAGGTCTCACCTTTCTCCAAACTCATAATCTCTATTGTGAGGATCAAACTGTACATTCTGGTCAACTTATACTACTACTTAATTCAGGTGGTTGTCACATTTTATGTTTATGGGAGGGAGGGACACCAAATAACATTCTTCTTATAGAAATCCACTCCACTTACAACGTTATCCACAGAAAAGTTACTAAATATTTAAAAATCAATTGACCTAACACCTACCACATTTCTAATATAAAGAGAAAAGATTATCACAAATTATTCATATATAAATCATTATACATGGGAGGCTGAGTAAGGAGCATCACAGGTTCAAGGCCTGCTTGGGCAATTTAGTGTATCCCTATCTTGAAATTAAAATATATATTTTTAAATGTGCTACAGATACTGGGCCCAGTGGTGCACACCTGTAATCCCAGCAACTCAGGAGGCTGAGACAGAATGGCAAGTTCAAGGCAAGCTTCAGCAGCAACCTGGGGCCTAAGCAACTTAGAGAGATCCGGTCTCAAAAATATAAAAAAAATTTACAAAGGGCTGGGTATTCAACTCACTGATAAAGTACCCCTGGTTTAAATCCCCAGTTAAAAAAAAAAAAAAAACTAGGCTCGGGAGGCTGAGGCAGGAGGATGGTGAGTTCAAAGTTAGCCGCGGCAACAGGAAGGTGCTAAGCTACTCAGTGAGACTCTATCTTTGAATAAAATACAAAATAGGGCTGGGGATGTGGCTCAATTGTGAGTGCCCCTGAGTTCAAAACCTTACCCCCCTTACCCCCAAAACCCTGCAGCTCTGCAGATGTAGCTCAGTGACAAGAGTGCCTACCATTGCACTTATACTACCAAAAATAAAATAAAATCCTCAGTACTACCATAAATAAAATAAAAAAGAAATCATTACACAATCTGACAGCTCATTCAGGTTCAATCATAAAATGAACAGTTATCAAAGATATTTAACTCTACATTCTTTTTACGTTCTTTTTTCCTAATCAGGTAAAATTCATAACAAAAACCTGTCAAAGCTACGTGTAATATCAATTCCTATCAAACACATAATTTTATAAAATCATCCAGTTTGGTGATTTTATTTACTCTTATGAGGCTTAAGCTTCTCCCATATTTACGTAACACACTTCTCTGTTCAAATCCTCCTGAGAGTTGCTCTAAAGAACTTAAGTATACTTTCATACTACATAAAAACAGATAAACCTTTTGAAACTCACCAAGGTTGGGGAAAAACTTCTCATTTTCATGTCATTTATCCATATTCTTGCTACTTCTTTATTAGAAGACTCTTTCTTCACTGTACCATTACTTACATCAGCTGAGAAGGAGAATATATTCATATATTAGAACAAAATCTCAATTTCTTTTCCTAGTATACAAATTTAGATTTTTATCCATTTCATAAAGGACATCAATATGCCTATTGCTGAATTTAGTGTAAATGTGAAAACATTCCAAATTATTGTGTCTTTATGCAAGAATCAACTTTAGAAAACAAGTAGTTCAAAAGAAATCCACAGAGTGGTGTGGGGGCACACACCTGTAAACCCAGCTACCAGGGAAGCTGAGGTAAGAGTACCGCAAGTTCTAATTTGGTGGTTACTTACTAATTTCTAAAAGAATGATTATTATTTGTAGAAGAAAAATCATTTTGGGAACTCCTTATTTCACTCTTGCCCCTGGAATAAAGATCCACACAATGACTGAACCCTTTCTTCTATATCAGCGGTTTTCAAAATATTTTTAAATATAGCACCCCAGAACCCAAATCAGTTAAACCTAAACTATTTAACTGAATGGGTTTATGGAGTAGGGTGGGGCCAAAGACTGTGTAACCAACCTCTAATATCCCTGAAGCACCTCTAGTATGAAGGAGTTTTGATATTACAGTGTGAAAATCACCGCTCTTGAGAGAAGGCAGGCTGGGGTTGTGGCTCAGCGGTACAGCGCCCGCCTAGCACGGGCGAGGCCTTGGGTTCAACCGTCAGCACCACATAAAAATAGATAAATTAATTAAAGATATTGTATCCAACTACAACCAAAAAATAGATATTAAAAAAAAAAAGAGAGAGACAGAATGCCAGTAAGTTTGATTAGCATCTATCTATTCTACCAAAGATTGGGAGTATTTGGGAAGTTTACCACTTGGGAGTCTAAAATAAGTAGATGTAATAAAATTCTTAAAAAATATTAAAAAGGAGGAAACTGAAACAGTTGAAAAACTCTGGAAAAAACAGTGATCATTTCAAAATTTTAAGACTAGAACTCAAGGGCTGGTGTTGTAGTTCAGTGGTAGAGCACTTGCCTAGCATGTGTGAGGCACTGGGTTTGATACTCACCGCAGCATACAAATACATGAATAAAGAAAAAAAATAGTAGATCTCAAGTGAGATCAGAACCCAAATGTCTAAGAGCCCCAAAAGGGGCAATACTGCACAATAAAAATGGAACATGTGTCAGGCTCATTGGCACATGCCTGTAATCCCAACGGCTCATGAGGCTGAGGCAGAAGGATTATGAGTTCAAAGCCAGCCTCAGCAAAAGCAAGGCGCTAAGCAACTCAGTGGGACTCTGTCTCTAAATAAAATACAAAGGGCTGGGGTTGTACCTCAATTGGTAAAGCATTTGCCTTGAATGTGTGAGGCACTGGGTTCGATTCTCAGTACCATATAAAACCAAATGTGTCTGTCTACAACTAAAAAAAAATACTTAAAAAGGACAAATATTAAATAAAATACAAAATAGGGCTGGGGATGTGGCTCAGTGGTTGAGTGCCCCGAGTTCAATACCTGATACCAAAAAAAAAAAAAGTGGAACACGCAAAATCATCGTGTCTACCATGTTTACACTTTCAATGTCCTTCCCATCAGGAAAAAGATGATCCTTTCCTACATACCTTTTTCTTCAGCATTCACTTACCATCTTTCTTTATTTAGTCCTATTCTAGTTTGTTAAGTTTTTCAGGATTACATGCAAGGATGATCTTGATTTGCAGGCTTTCATCTTTTAAAAATTACTACATTGTGGGAGAACTTATACCAGATGTTACTCAGCAAGTTCCAATTTATTCTGTTTTTCTCTTCAAACTCTCTTCCCAATGGCATACATCCTATCTTTGAGTTACAAGGGCATAAGCTAATTTGAAAACTAGGATACTCAGGGAACACCTCATATAAAAGGGGCAGGCTTCCTCATTAAACCCAAAGACCTGACTCAAAAGTGGCTTCCACTAACTGCTGACCACCTCAAAATCCCCAGGAGCCATCTAGTTGCTGCCTGAACTTTGGCCCTATCAGGCCACCATCCTAAAATCCATGGCAGGAAAGGAAAACCAGTACTGAGACAATTAAAATTATTTCCCAAGTATCCTTTAGCTGTTGGGATATAGGTGGTTGGGTATAGTTAGATCAAAATGATGATGCAATGGTATGGACCCAAACTTAAAAGATTACATGAAAATTTTAATTACCCCAACACAGAGATAAAATTAATTCTACATTATCCTAGAAACACTTCTTAATGATTTTTCAGAAAGCCCTCGCCCTCTACTTAATAAACACATGAACATTACAATTTCCAAGCTATCAATTCTGCCACAAACATGTACTGTTCATAGCTCCAACAAACAGAATAAAGTTCTTTGGAAGGAGAAACTGTCCACTTGAAATCTATCATCTTAGACTGGGGTTGTAGCTCAGCAGTAGAATGCTTGCCTAACCATGGGTTCTTCACCCAACACCATGCAAAAATAAATAAAATAAAATAAAAATCACCACCTAATTTGAAAAGCCTAATGAAATGCTATGTATATACTAGTGAAAATCATCAGGAACATGTCTTAACAGCTCACATTTTATCTTCCTACTATCCCCTTCATCCCCGTAAAATTGACCAAAAAAAAAAAAAAAGCTATGAACACCCATGTGTGCTGAAACTATAAAAATAGTGGCCAGCACAGGTTATAGCTGAAGTCAGTATCTCCAACGGTGCGCACCAGAGGACTATTATAAAACAGGACTCAACACTGGGGGACTTTTACATAACAAAGATTCAAGACAATCTTTAACCCAATGAAGGAGGGAAGGCAAGTCTCTCCCTCTTACAGGTTATCTTTTTATTTTTTAGTCTCTTAAAACTATACTGCTAGGACTGGAGTTGTGGCTCAGTGATAGAGCACTTGCCTAGCACAGGTGAAGCACTGCGTTTGATTCTCAGCATCACTTACAAATAAATAAATAAAGGCATTATGTCTACAACTTAAAATACATTATACTGCCAAAGTTTGAAATTGTAATAATTAAAAAAATAAAAAAGACACATTATTCTATTTTACCCTTAAAAATTACCTTGGCACACTTACTGGAAGCTTCCTCTGACCACTCCATTTAAAACTTATTTCCTCCTACCCACACACACATTTTCACTTTTCTCCATGGTTCTAGTTACTCTGATATACTATGTAATTAATTTTTTTAAACTACCTGTCTTTCCCACTAGAAAGCAAACTCCTTGAGTACAGAGTTTTTAGTTGTTTTTTTTTCCCCTAGTTATAGACTCAAAATTCCAGAAGAGTGCCTGGCACCTAATACACATTCAAATATTTGCTGAATGAATGAGCAATAAAAGACACTAGAAATAAGAATAACTATAAAACTGACATTCCTTATGTATTTTTTTAATTTATTTACAAATTCCTTAAAAAGGTGTGGGTCAAGTCATTATTGAGGGGCTGGGTTTGTAGCTCAGTGGTAGAGCGCTTGCCTAGCACAAGTGAGTCCCAGGGTTTGAGCCTCAGCACCACATAAAAACAAGCAAAATAGTTGTAGATATTACCTACAACTATAAACAAATTTAAAAAAAAAATCATTGTTGAGTCTTTCCCACTTATATTCTGAACCTGTTCTCTTTTTTTTAATGTTTATTTTTTAGTTTTCAATGGACACAATATTTTTATGTGGTGCTGAGGATCGAACCCAGGCGAGCACGCTCCCACTTGAGCCACATCCCCAGCCGTGAACCTGTTCTTAATTTAAACATTATAATGGAAATGGTTGCACAACTCTATGAACATACTAAAATCCACTAAATTGTATACTCTGAAAGAATAAATGAGCCATGTTGGAATGCCTCTAATCCCAGAAACTGAGGAAGGCAAGTCAGAAGGATCTGACTGAAGTCAGTCTCAGTAATACAGCAAAATCCTGTCTCAAAATAGAAAATAAAATGCTGGGGATATAGCCTAACATGTGTGAGGCCCAGGGATTGATTCTCAGCATTGCAAAATATGTCAATAAATTCATTTATTTATTAAATAAAATAAAGGGCTGGGAATATGGCTGGGTGGCAGAGCACTCCTGGGTTCAATCCCCTGTACTGCAATCAATCAATCAATAAATAAATAAATGGCTATTTATCTGAACTATATGTCTCTCAAAAAAAATGAAAAAAAAAATATTATGGGTGCTCATTCTTCAAAGAAAATATAACAATTTTATATTGAAAGTGTATTACTGAACAGGTGTGATGGCACATACCTATAATCCCAGGGACTCAGGCAGCTAAGGCAGAAAGATCACAAGTTGGGAGACCAGCCTCAGCAACTTAACAAGACCTTATCTCTAAAAATAAAAAACGCTGGAGAGGGGCTGAGATTGTGGCTCGGAGGTAGAACGCTCGCCTAGCATGCTTAAGGTACTAAGTTCGATCCTCAGCACCACATAAATGTAAAATAAAGATATTGTGTCCACTTAAAAATAAAAAATATATATATTAAAAAGGGGGGGCAGAGATGTAGCTTAGTGGTAAAGCACCCCCTGGGTTCAATCTCCATATCCAAAAAAAAAAGTGTATTAATGAATCAGAGTACTTAAGACAACTACCCACAAGCGATGAAGCCAAGACAGATAAAATCATAAACCATGTAAGTCTAGAGTATCTAAGTATCTAGCCAGACGTGTGATGGTGTATGCCTCTAATCCCAGCAACTTAGGAGACTGAGGCAGGAGGATCCCAAGTTCAAAGCCACACTCAGCAACTTAGGGAGGTCCTAAGCAATTTAGTGAGACCCTATCTCAAAAGGGGTGATGGTGGAGAGGACTGGAAATGTGGTTCAGTGCTTAGGTGGCCCTTGGTTCAATTCCCAATACCAACCCTCCTTCCAAAGAAAAGCCTGCTACCTCAAGTATGGTCCAAAGACCACCAATAAAACATCTCTGGAGAACTTAGAAATGCAGAATCTTGGGCCTCATTCTAAATCAGGCTCTGCTCTTGAACAACATTCCCAAGTGATTCATTCATAGGCACAAAGTGTAAGAAGCAATAATTTATGGATTAAGAAAAATGTTATGTTAATAGTTATTCAAAATATAAAAACAAGATGATCTCATGATATTAATGTAGCTATTTGATAATTTCATACACTTCACTGTAGAGTTACCTGCTCTACCTCAGCCTCCAAATGTTTGCTTCCCTTGGATTTCGAATGTTACAAGCATACAGAGCAAGGCAGATAATGCCTCTTTCATGCCCTGTTCTTTTGAGACCCAAGTAAATCCTTAGAAAAAACAAAACATTTTGACATAGCTTACCCAAGACAGAAAATGATACTGCTGAAAACAGACTTACTAGCTGCTGTTGCAACTGGCTGAGCAATATTTGCAGGTGGTTTCAGTTTCATAAGTTCATTAAGACTATTATTTTTGAGTAGATCCTTCAGTTGAACCTGCTCTTTGGAAGGTGCAGAAGTCATGGCATTTCGTACTACTGGTGCTGAGACAGAAGGGCGTGTATTTGCAGTAGTCTGGATAAACTTTGTTAGAGTGATGGTTTGCCGATTGGTTGTAACAGGTGGTGTTTTAGTCATTACAATTGTAGATCCCAAGGTTGGAAGCTGATTTATTTGATTCAACACAAAGGTTGTAGTAGATGGAGGCTGCTGCTTAGGAAGGAAAATAAAACACTTAAATACTGACAATACTTTCTTCTCTAACATAGTCTTTACCTATAAACATGGTAAAGCACTTCATTTCTAACTTAAGGTTAGCTATAAATTACCAAGTTAAAACATAGCACTTTGGGGAAAAGAAGGTATGGTAGTAAGGTGACATTTTATATAAACATCAAGGACAGAAAACATAAAAAGAAGTTATTCCAAGCAAACCATGATATACAATAATTCCAAATAATATAGTTAGTAACAAAAAAGATTCCTAATGCCAGCACTGCCCCAACTAGGTAGATAACCTTAGGCAAATCACTTAAACCACTGGAGGTGTGGGTTCTCTTGCAGCCCATTTTCCATTTTTAACATTCTATGATCCCTGTTCAATGATTCATTATATAAGCTACACTATTATTTAGAACTTAAAATAACAAAAGCAACTGAACCAGGTAAACTGCAAACACTGGTGATAATGTAGGTGCTAGTGAGCCTAACACAAAACCACTGTTTTATTTTTATTAGATGGTAAGGTGGAGTGGAAATAAACCCAAAAAAGGGGGGGATGCAAATCTGAAGATCCTTTATCTATTACCATTAGTACAATTGAGATAGTTTTAAATGTCTTTCCTCCTCAAACTATTTGTCCATGAGTCTTTAAATAAAAATCTTCCTCTGGATTACAATTTATTACTTTTTTCTGTGGGAGGGAGGGAGTCCTGGGGATTGAACTCAGGGGCACTTGACCACTGAACCACATCCCCAGCCCTATTTTGTATTTTATTTATAGACAAAGTCTCACTAAGTTGCTTAGTGCCTCACTTTTGCTGAAGCTGGCTTTCAACTCAAAATCCTCCTGCCTCAGCCTCCTGAGCCACTGGGATTACAGGCATGTAATACAACTCAATGATAATACAAATTTATCAGATGTTAACAGTTGGTCCAATAACATTTTATCAGTAGGTGTCAGTTAATAATTTCTGTGCTTAAGGTAATGTTGGAAGAACTCTATAAGTAAAGCATAATTACAGCTGGGCTTGTGTCATACACCCAGCAACTTGGGAGGCTGAGGCAGGAGGATTGCAAATTCAAAGCCAGCATCAGCAACTTAGAATTTTTCTCAAAACAAAACAACAACAAAAAAAGGGGCTCAGAATGTGACTCAGTGATTAAGCACTCCTGGGTTCAATCCCAAGTACAAAAAACAAAAAAAGGCTGGGGAGTAGGGGAAGGCAGACTAGGGATATAACTCAGAGACAGAATTTTGTTAAATTCAATCCCCAGATTCCCCCCCCACACACAAAAACATAACAATCTCATGAAAACTATAATATCAATGGATAGAAACTGAAATAAACAAACAAAAATGAAAATAATGAGATAATGTACATTTCATCCTTATTTCATCAGTTTTAAATGGTTTGCAATAAATTTTTTTTCTAATTACCATTGATCAACACAAGTGACAAGAATCAAAAGTTTTTAAAAAGCAGGAGATAAGAGTAGGATATTGGGTGAGTATTAAAAAAGGAGAACTGGTGAAATAAAAACACTCCATACTCAAAAGGCAATTTTCTTGCTACAATCCTCAACTATTTTAGAATAATGCCAAATCTGGACAATTCTTACCCTCACATTTAACAGTGCGGGAGTAGGTACCGTCTCTGATTCTTGTTTAACAGGAACTGCTGCTTCCGTCTCCAAACCTAGTTCTAATGCACTAAGTGGCACCGACTGAAGAGAAAACACATCAGAGAAAGAAACAGGAGGACAGCAGTAAACTCTGTTTCAAGAACAAGAGTTGCATTTAACAAAAAGAAAAAAGTGTGTGTGTGTGTGGTGAGACTCAGTGGTAAAGCTTGCCTAGCATAAAAAACCCTGGGTTTGAATCCCAGGGGTGGGAGTCAAGCTTTACGTAAAAATATGAAATCACTAATACCATGTATTGCAAAGCTATTTTTGCAGGCATAAAAACTCCACTAATATTAGAATCTTATTTTTTTATTTCAGAGAATGGACATAGAGAAGACCCAGAAAAATGTCCCTATATAACTACAAAGACAACCATAAAGGAGATTAATGATACTCCCTCAAAAACTCAATAAATTCATCTCTTATGTTTATAAATATATAATACCATATCTTGGTTTTCATTGCAAATATTTTCTACCTTATGAAGACAAATACTCAACAGAAAAATACATGTATACTTAAAATTAAAAATTTAATAGTATCTATTTCTATAAGTGAAAACTACAAATTAAGAAAAAATTCTACTCTTTTAACAGGCTTAAAAAACTTACCTGCTGAACTGGAGTGGTAGGCGTTGGAGTTGCAAGCCCTGCATCTCCACCATCAATATCAAAGAGGTCATTTGGACTGATTCCACTCTCACTCAAAGCAGCAAGCAGTAAATCTTGCCCTGGTTCCACCATCTTTAGGACAAAATATTAAATAGTAACATAAAAAAACATTAACATTTCTCCAAATATAAATAATCCATCATTCAATATTTATGAAGAACCTGATATATGTCAGGAAATGAGAAAAATAAGAATAAGTCTTCAATTCCAGAAAGCTCAGACTGAAATGGAAAGGATAGAAAAGTATGTCAATCACAGCAAGAATATGTCTACAAAACTCCATGGGGTTGGGGGGGAGCTGGGGTTGTGGCTCAGTGGTAGAGCACTTGCCTCCCACATGTGAGGTACTGGCACACATAAAAATAAATATATTGGGGCTGGGGATGTGGCTCAAGCGGTAGCGCGCTCGCCTGGCATGCATGCAGCCCGGGTTCAATCCTCAGCACCACATACAAACAAAGATGTTGTGTCCGCCGAAAACTAAAATTCTCTCTCCCCCGCCCTTTAAAAAAAAAAAAAGAAATAGATTTATGTAATATATATATGTAATATTACATATATATGTAATGTTAAAATATATATATGTTAAAATAAATAGAATTTTAAAAATAAATAAATATAGTGTGTCCATCTACAACTATATGTATATATACATACAACTGTATGTATATATATAAATATATATAAAAATCCACGTGGGGCCATGTGCATGGTGCACCCCTGAAATCTCAGCAGCTTAGGAGAATGAGGCAGGAGGACTTCATGTTCAAAACCAGCCTCAGCAAAAGCAAGGCAAGTGAGACCCTGTCTATAAATAAAATACAAAATAGGGCTGGGGATGTGGCTCAGTAGTTTAGTGCCCCTGAGTTCAATCCCCAGTAAACAAAAACAAAAAAGGGGTTGACCATGGGATCAGAGAAAGAAAAAGTGAACTTTGCCTAGTTAGAGAGATGACAAAGATAATAGAGACCTAGTCTCAAGGAGGAAATCACCATGTGGACAAGACTCTCTAAACATCATGAAGGGATGACAGAATTTGGCTGGGAATGTAGAAGCCTTGCCTAGTATGACCAAGGCCCTGGGTTCAATCTCCAACAACACATACACACACACATACAAAAAAAAAAAAAAAAAACTTATATCACCCACAGTACTATCCACCATTCTAGAAGGTTCACTTAATCCTGTGGGTAATACAGGTAACTAAAAGAGCTTTTCAGATGGATGACCACTTGAGACAGTAGACTTGCGATTTAGAAAGATTACTCAAAACCAGTGGGGAAGCAAATATAGAGAAGAATCAGACTAAGATCAGAAGCAGGAAGACATATTGGAAAACTGCTACAGCAGACCAAGAGAGAGATGATAGATCTGAATTGCAGGGAGAGGAGAGAATATTCCAGGACAATTAGGAGAAATAATACATCAGACTTAAATATAAACTCAGAATGACTGAGAGAATATAACACATTCCAGAGAAATTAAGAATTAACAGACAATTAAGAATTAAGCCATAAAACAGGTGTGATATCTCACAACTGTAATCCCAGCGGCTTGGGAGGCTGAGGCAGGAGGATAGCAAGTTCAAAACTAGCCTCGGCAAAAGCGGGCTGCTAAGGAACTCAGTGAGACCCTGTCTCTAAATACAATACAAAATAGAGCTGAGAATGTGGCTCAATGGCCAAGTGTCCCCAAATTCAATCCCAGAACTCTCACTATCACTCCCTCAAAAAAGTTAAGCCATGAGAAAATGAAAACATAAAAGTTAAGACAGGATGGGGCTAGGATTGTGGCTCAGCAGTAGATCGCTCGTCTACATCTACGAGGCCCTGGGTTCAATTCTCAGCACCACAAAAAATAAAATAAATACAATAAAAGATATTGTGCCCAGTTACAACGAAAAAATAAATATTAAAAAAAAAAAAAAGTTGAGCCAGGAAATTTTAAGGACAAGTTATGTGAAGTGTTATTTGGGTTTTGTGTTTTTGTTTTTGCAGTAAACAAAGTGGTTAATTTAGGAGTGGTTAATTTAGGAGTAAACAAGTTCAATTTAAGTTGGGGTTTTTCAAAATATAATGATCTCAGGAGCCAGAAGAAAGCATTCTTCCTCCAAGATGGATTTCCCATCTTAAAGAGAAGGGAAACAAAACAGTGTATTCTCAGTTTCAACTTTTCTCAATCTATCTGAAATAACCAATTTATATATATAAACATGAAAAATCTGACTATACTTGTTTTTCTCAAAAAAATTGGGGGTGTAGTTCAATACCAGCCTAGCATGCACTAGGCCCAGGCCCTGGGTTCAATCCCCAGCACCACCAAAAATAGAACCCAAAACAGACTTTGCCAACAATATACAGAGAAAGAAAAAGAAGTGTAGGAAAGAAAAAACATTTTGAGCAGGAAAGAGCAAGATAAGGAAACTGACAGTGACCAAGTATGTTCCACAAACCTGATACAATGTCAGGCTCCTCATATACATTACCATCAGTAAACTCACAACCACCCTGAATAAAATAGGTAATTTAATTTTTACCACTGAAACTGAAGTTCAGAAAGCTTAAATTACCTAAATTCACTCAACAGGGAGTGGTAGAAGATTAAAATCTACATAGTTTAAACTCTTAAAGGCCATGGGTCTTCTTTTTTTTTTAATATTTTTTAGTTTTCGATGGACACAACATCTTTATTTTATTTTTAATGTGGTGCTGAAGATCGAACCCAGCGCCCCAAGCATGCCAGACAAGCGCGCCACCCACTTGAGCCACATCCCCAGCCCTCATGGGTCTTCTTTCCAATGAGTAAAGCTGATGTTAATAACCTAAGAAGTTTCAATACCTTATTTTGGAATAAATGCCAGACTGAGATTGAAACTGAAGCGGGGCTGGGTGGAGGGCCACTTGCCAATAATCCTAGCTACACAGGAGGCTGAGGCAGGAGGATTTCAAATTCTAGGCCAGCCTCAGCAATTTAGCAAGAACCTGTTGCAAAAAATAAAAAAGGGCTAGAGACATAGTTCAGTGGTAGAGTACCTCTATGTTCAATACCTAGCACCAAGAAAAACAAAAACAAAAAAATCCTGAAGGGGCAAGGAATAAAGTACTAGACAGTAAGATGAAAATAATATGAGGAAATGGCTGGGGAGGCTAAGGCAGAAGAATCGCGAGTTCAAAGTCAGCATCGGCAATGGTGAGGCACTGAGCAAATCAGTGAGACCCCATCTCTAACTAAAACACAAAATAGGGACTGGGATGTGGCTCAGTGGTCAAATGCCCCTGAGTTCAATCCTCATCCCCCCCCCAAAAAAAAAGAATACGAAGGAATGGATGACAGGGACACAAAAAAAGAAGAAATGTCCCAATATTCATTTACAATAAAATTTATCCATTTTTCTAATATAAACATATTTGATCATGCTTTACAATTATCCTAGTACATGGTACCTAGAGCTCTAAACTAATGCTTTAAAAACATTTTTTAACCCACATTGGTTCATTAGAACCAATGATCTGTGGGAACAGGGTGTCTTGGGCCACGAGCTATGCTTTTTTTTTTGGTACTGGGGACTGAACCCAGGGGTGCTTTACCACTGAGCTATATCCCCAGCCCTTTCTATTTTTTACTTAGAGACAGGGTCCTGCTAAAGTTGCTGAGGCTAGCCTTGAACTTGCAGTTCTCCAGAGTTGCTGGTATTACATACAGAGTTGCATCACCACACTCTTTGCTATGGTTAATCTTGACTCAAGAGTAATAAAACTGGGCTGGGGTTGTGGCTCAGAGGTAGAGCGCTCGCCTCACACGTGCGAGACCCTGGGTTCAATCCTCAGCACCACATACAAAAATAAACAAGTGAAATAAAGGTGTTGTGTCCAACTACAACTAAAAAAAAAAAGAGTAATAAAACTTCAGAAACTATCAAAATATTATCTATTTTTTGTAAAATTAGAAATCATTGGTTTACATTTGAAACAAAAGAACGTTTTTATTTTTTTAAGAAACAGGGTCTTAGCTGAGTGTAGTGGCATACACCTGTAATCCCAGGGGCTCAGGAGGCTGAGACAGAAGGATTGTGAGTTAAAAGCCAGCCTCAGCAAAAGCAAGGCGCTAAGTAAGAAACTCAGTGAGACCCTATCTTTAAATAAAATACAAAAAAGGGCTGGGGACATGGCTCAGTGGTTGAGTGCCCCTGAGTTCAATCCCCAGTACCCCTGTCCAGCAAAAAAGAGACAGGGTCTTGCTATGTTTCCCAGGCTGTTCCCAAACTCCTGGGCTCATGCCATCCTCTTGCCTTAGCCTATTCACCACACCCCAAAGTACTGTTTTAAGGCAGCAAATTCTAAACTACAGACCACAGAGCCCTTGTAGTTCAATAGATTCATTAATCCATCATACCAAGTCCTGTGTATTTATACTCAAAGTATAGAAATACCATTTATTAATGAAATATAAATTCACTAAAAAATGTTATAGCTTTTTGAAATGTATTTTCTTAACAATGAGCATTAAAAGTACAAAACTATCATCATGGAAGGGAATTGTGGGGAGAGATTTTGATGCTCATTAAAGACAGCAACATTTATAAATAACACTCAGTGATCAGCTCAGAATTCACTCAGAGGAATCACAATCTTGCTGTTTCAAATGTATTCAAATACTAGAACAAGTTGTACCTCATAAATATAAAAAATTTTTACACATCAAATAAATAACAATTTGAGACTCTTGGAGTAGTGACCATGTCTGTAAAAGACATTATTTTGCACAAGCTAACAGTGAAAAAGTTCCTAATGTAATATGCATCCTATACAAAAATGGAACCTAAGAATCCATTCTCTCAGCCAACTGGACACAAATTATTTTTTCTTGGGGTGAAGAAGAAAAAGAAGCAAAGCATACTCCAATTCTCTAACGCTATTAAAGAAAACTCTGAAATTTAATTATATTTCTAATTCTGAAACTATTATAAACACATGCAATTTCAGTTCTCAAGCAGATAGAGCCCTTAAAAACTTATAGTAGCCCATCTCGTTTTGTAAATAAGTAAGACTTACTCCTGGGAAGGAAAACATTTTCACTTTGAATCCACAAAGTATAATATAAATGCTAAATACTGTTAGATGTTAAGAAAATCACATTAGTATGTTTAAAAAGAAGTTCACAGACCTCAGGTGATACTTACCATGCAGCAACCTAACCCCCAAATTATCACAAACAATAAAAAACTGTTTCAACGTTTATCATAAGTGTATGTGAAAACATCACTTATTTCAAAATAGTACGCCTATGAAAATTTCTATGATGAATAAGAAACAAACACCTTTGGCAGGAAGAGAATACTGAGGAACAATACCAATCAGAAGACAGAAAGGAGACAGTTCCCATTGAGAATATAAATACTGAAACGGGACAAGGTTTTTTTCATTGAAACCTAAAGAGGATCCTTATGGCTCTAAGCAGATACAAGGGATACATATCTGTAAGACAAGAGCACAACACAGAGGTTGAGGACTGTAGGGTCAGACATCATCCACTAATGGTATAATGGTCAAGTAATAACCTCCTGACTCAGTTTCCTTATCTTAAAAGGCAAATAAAAACAGAACTTCCCTTCTGGAACTATTGTATTGAATATCGAATGTGATGCTACCTACAGTAAATATTTGCTACTAGTTACTATCATTTTGACAAAACTTGAGTATTATGATTAAAAAAAAAAAAAAAAAAAAAAAGTTTTGTTTTGTTGGAACTGAGGATGGAACCCAGGGGCACTCTTCCACTGAGCTACATCCCCAGCCCTTTTTGTTTTTATTTATTTTTGCATTACTGGGATTGAACCCAGGGGAACTTTACCACTGAACTATATACCCATCCCTTCTTAATTTTATTTTGAAACTTAGGGTTTCCTAAATTTTCCAAGTTGGCTTAATACTTGTGATCCTCCTGCCTTGGCCTCTCAGTTACTGAGATTATAGGCATGCACCATCATAATCTGTATTTTTCAACACCTACTAATGAACACTGCTCAATAAAATATCCCCCACTGCAAAACCAGTAGAAATATATTCATAAGAGTATGTAAATTATATGAAGTTTAAAAATGCTTTAACAAAAATGCAGGAAAGAATCAGAGAGAGAGGAAAAGTGACAGGACTCTCTCCATCACCACTTGCTCAAATTCAGATGGTTTTGATACTTACTGTATATTTGGGTTTTTCTCTTTTAATCAAGATAACCCTTGAGTATCCCTTGTCACAGGTGAGAAATCAGACTTAGAAAGATGAAATAATATAATAAGTTAACAACTATACAAGCTTGGAAAATTACAAAACCCAGGAGGTCTAATACCACACTTCTCCAAGTTCCTGCCCTTCCAACCCAATATCCCCAGGTTACGCATTTAAGCAATCAACCAACCGAGAATCAAAAATTCTTGGAAAAAAATTCATGTCCTCAACTGTAGACTCCCCCCACCACCCAGTGTTGCATAACAAACCCAAGGTCTTGGACATGCTAGGCAAGTGCTCCACCACTGAACTACACCCCCAGACCAACACGCAGACTTTTTTCTTGTCATTTCTCAAACAATTATTTATATACCATTTACATTGTATTAAGTATTATAAGTAATCTAAACATGATTTAAAATATAACGGAGAATGTGCAAAAGTTACAAGCAAATCTGATAACATTTTGTAATCTCTTTTGGGGGTTGCAGAACTCATCTCCCAAAAATATCCAAGGGACAAGAGTACCATATTTTCAGTGACAGTTAATGAGTTTTCAAATCGATGGCTAGCATACTTACCCATTTAATAATAGAACAGAAAATTATCACAGAGAAACGTTATTTTGTGAAATATTTGTTATTTGTGTATACACATATACACTAGTTCACAATATAAAACATTTCTTACTGCGGATGTAATACAAATATTTGTAAATCACCACTCTAATTTGTTGCCTCTCAAGAAACAAGAAGTTAGTTTAATGGGTTTTACACTATATCTTACTAATATAAAACACAGTTCCTGCTCTTCAAGAGCCTTTCCACTGACAGAAAAATTCAGTGATATACCAAGATTACTTTTTTTTTTTTTTTGGTACTAGGGATTGAACCGTGGTGCTTTACCACTGAACTACGTCACAAGTTATTTTCATTTTTGAGACAGAGTCTCACTAGATTGCTGGGGCCACCCTGGACAACTTAGGGAGACCCTCTCTCAAAATAAAAAGGACTAGAAATGTAATTCAGTAATAGAACACCTCTGGGTTCAATCCCCAGTGGGGGGGAGTGGGACAGATGAGTCAATCTGTCAATTAGCTTATAAAAAAGATGATTACAAAAAGTTTAGGATTACATCATTTTGTTATTGACTGGCTACTTAATGTGAAAGCAATTTCTTTCAAAAACTATCTTTACACCAACTTTAGGCAGGCAAAGCATGGGATCCCAAAGAGACTAATGTTTGCTCTAAGTTCCATTCAATGAAATCAGACCTGAGTGTTTTTGTTCTTCACAAGTGGCAAGTCTCAACTCAAAACTCTAAGAAATGCAATAAAATATCTGCGGATGAAGTCTTTTGAAGCAAATCACTTCTAAGAGCATGAAAAGAAATCTCCATGCAGCCCATTTTTAAATAACAATTTCAGCAAAGCTCTGGAAACATATATTGCCTAGTATTAACAGCATTCAAGGAATGAATAATAAATAACTACTTAGGCTCTCCTTTTTAATACTTCTCCAGTAACTAAAATTAAGTTTTAATTAAAACTTAAGGGAGTTGCATGGAATAAAGATTGGGAGCTAAGTAGAAGCCAAAGAAAAGATGTCTTTTGTCAGGAAAATTTTAGAAACAATTCTTTACAAGATGAAAGCACGTCTGTTCCTTGCAAAATTAACGTCCTACTCCAATGACCAGTAGCAAATTCTGCATTTCATCCCAGAAATTCTGTATAAGCTATCTTTTGTGCAATGATATGGTTTTTCCCACTAATTATGAAAATCAATTCTTGATCACTGGAAAATACGGGGAAAACAGAATCCATCTGCAAGTGCTAAGTTGATTCCAGCTGGGGCACTTAAGAATTTGACAGTTTGCTGGACCCCCTTGCCCGGCACTTTAGTATTCTTTCATCCCAAATTCAGGCTGTCTGGAGAATATGAAACATATAATTTAACATAAACTGCTCACATGAACTTTTAAAGGTCAAAGGGGACCAGATTTTAACCTTCCCTCAACACGTGTTCAGCACAAACTTCCGGGTGCGGTTACAATTGGCTGCGCAATTCAATGGATAAAAACGTTGCTTTATTTGACTCTCCTTTTCTCGCCGGTTCTTTTCCCACGTTTCTCAACCAGCGACTCCCAAAAACAAAAGCCTCCCACAGTAAACGGACCACGCACATAAATAGAGCTTGTCTGTGCGAGGATCAAGTTAGTGGTCCGCAAACATTAACCAAACAGAAGCACAAAGCCGGGTGGAAAGGGGAGGAGCTGGATGCCAGGGTCAGAAAAGAAACAATCACAAGGGTTCACGAATATCCAAATCTCCTCAGCGGTTAAACCGATCCCGAAATACTTCTGGGAAACCCATGAGCAGACACTGCTCTGGGGAACTTTGAATGCTTGGTACACAAGCACTCCCACAGCAAGCAAATGCCCAACCGCCATTCCCTCGCCTGTGTGCCTACCCTCAGGGTCTACGAGACGAGCTTGCTGGCTCGCTGGAGGCAAAACTAAGCTAATCGCGGGGCGAGGCGTGAAGGGAGCCTCCATGTGTCCCGCCAACCTTCTCCGCTGCCCTAAGGGCTTCTCGGAAAACCGCCGGCGAGGCAGACAGACTCAGGAAAAGCGACCCGTCGCCTCCTTCCCTCGCCCTAAACCGGGACCAAGGCAGGAGGACTTGGAAGGACCCCGAGCTCACTTTCCCCGCGGGTCCGGGACCTCGCCACCGGGTCGTGCGCGGAAGCAAAGGGGGCGACCCGGCGCCGCCGGCGTGCGCAGCCCCCGCCTCCCCAGCCGCAGGGGTACCTCCGGCTCGGGACAGCGGGGCTCCCGGGGCCCGAGAGCCCCACGCGCGGCGACCGCAGGGCCGGCGCTGACGGCGGAGGAAGCGAGTGTAGAGGGCCGCCGCCGGGGCCGTGCGGCCGCGGGGGTCGGCGAGCCCGGAGCGAGGCCCTAAGCCGGAGCGAGGTGGTTACCCCCCCAGCCGGCCCCACACGGACCCCGAGGAAGGTGGGAGTGGGAGGCTGTCCGGGAGGACGAGAGTGGAAAGAGAAAAGGGTTAAGGGGAGGACTTACTTTCCTCGCGGGACCCGACGCCAGGACAGCTTCTCCCCGGGGGTGAGAGCTTTAAGAGCCAGAGGCGACTGGAGCGGAGGCGGCGGCGGCGGCGGCGGCAGCGGCGTCCGGCTCTGCCTACCTCCCCGCCGCCATCTTGACGCCCCTCCCCCAGCCCCCCGCCCGCAGGGAGGGGAGGGGCGGGGCGACGGATAAGGCACCGCGCGCACGCAGCCCGCACCGCGTCCCACGTGACTTCCTCTCCACCCCCACCCCGCGCCCTTCTCCGCCCCGCCTCCCTCCTAGAGTCCACCCCCCCATCTTGACCGCCCTCTGCCTTCGCCAACAAAAACGGACTCCACTAGCTCTCGCTAGCCTAGTACCAGCGATCGGATCCAAAGGAACTCCGGAACCCAAACGGTCCATTACCGCGGCTCTGGGGTGGGCGAGGGGTAAGGGGGCCGGGTTTCCGAGAAGGGGGAGGGGAGAGAACGAAGGCCACCTAGGACAGTCACGTGTCTACTGCTTCCGCCGGCTCTCACTGAGACCTCGCGAGAATACCGTTCCCCCTCACTTTCTCCCCTGCGGGCTGTCGGGAAGAAGGTCGGCATTCTGGGGTTGCCACCAGGAGGTCAGCGGGTGGGCCTTGCGCATGCGTCCCGTGCCAGCTTTCAAAGTCCGGCTAAGGAGGGGCTCGAAGCTATTTTCAGAATCCTGTTGGTGGGTTGCTGTGGCCCGCAAAGTTACCTAGTGGTGTTTCTGTCACTTGGAAAAGCTCTTCAATGCCTAGCCATCCTTGGATAATATTCACATAGCCAGTGCTTGTTAGACTCGTTCAAAGCACTTTATTGAGAAACCGCAATTAACCCGGAGCCCGTGGGTTCCTCCACGGCCATTATCATGCTATGGAGTGTGAGCAACCGCAGTCCCATTTCTAGTCTCTTCCGGCCACCCGAAGCAACTATTGATCTTAACTAATGTTTGCTGTAGGAAACGTTTATCCCTACCACCTTTCACTTTCATTACGATTAAGAGACCTAACAGACCAGACATACTAACTTCTTTTCCTTTTGTAGAGTCATTCTGAGAATGCTGTTTGACTCCGTTGCTTAGGTAATGGGCAGGCCTGGGTGATTCTTGCCCCCTACCGGCTGTGCATCTCACTCGCCTCCTGGTGAAAGCGAACCAGCTCTGTAGTTGGAGCAGTATAAACTCTCCAAGAGAAACTATGGGGGTGGAGGGTATAGGCATGACGAGGGTAACTATGAATCTTCCAACCTGGAGTTTGTATGCATATGTATTACGTATGTGTGCATATTTCTATAAACATTTTTAAATGCCAGCTGATCACTTTGGTAATCACTTTACTTTCATGGTTTTATTTTTAGAATACATTTTTATTTTTAGTTGACAATAATTGTACGTATTTATGGGGTACAGTGTGACATTTTAATACATGCATACAATACATAATGATCAGGGTATTTGGCATATCTGTCATATCGAACACCATTTCTGCCAGGGGAGTGGTGGTGCATGCATGTCTGTAATCCCAGGGACTCCGGAAGGCTGAGGCAAGAAGATTGCAAGTTCCAGGATAACTCACCAACTTAAGACCCTAAACAACATAGTAAGACTCTTGTCTCAAAATAAAAATAAAAAAGGGTTGTGGATATAACTCAGGATTAAGCAACCCTGGGAGCAATTCCTAATACAAAAAAAAAAAAAATCACTTCTTTGCATTGGAAATATTCAAAATTATCTTACTAGCTATTTTGAAATGCTCAATTAGTTGTTGTCAACCATTTTACCCTACTGTGCTCTAAAACATTAGAAGTTTATCATCCTAGCTGGGCATGGTGGCACATGCCTCTAATCTCAGCGGCTCAGGAGACTGAGGCAGGAGGATGGAGAGTTCAAAGCCAACCTCAGCAACAGCAAGGGGCTAAGCAACTCAGTGAGACTGTCTCTAAATAAAATACAAAAAAGGGCTGGAGATGTGGCTCAGTGATTAAGTGCCTCTGGCTTCAATCCCCAGTATCAAAAAAAGAAAGAAAGAAAAAGAAAGAAGTTAATCCTATCCAGCTGTACTCCTATACCTATTAATCATCCTCTCCCCACATCTTTTCTAGGCTCTGGTAACCTCTGTGTGTGTGTGTTTGTACTTGAGATTGAAACCAGGGGTGCTTTACCACTGAGCTTCAACCCCACCCCTTTTTATTGTTTACTCTGAGAAATTGCTAAGGTTCTCCTAAAGTCACTATAATCCTGCCTTGGCCTCCTGCGTTGTTGGCATTACAGCATTTGCCACTGTACAGGCCACTACTATGCTATTCTCTACTTCTGGGGCTTAGGATGTATAGTTCAGTGATGGAGCACTTGCCAAACATGTGCAAGGCCCTTGACTTCAACCCCAGTACTTCATTCCCCCACACACACACGAAACAAACAATATTTGCTACTTTGAGATCAATTTTTAAGTTTCTACATAAAAGTGAGAGCATGCAGTATTGATCTTCTGTGTCTGACTTATCTCACTTAACATATGTCCTCCAGTTACATCTGTGTTGTGAATGAGAGAATTTCATTCCTCTTTTATGACCTAACAGTATTCCACTGCACATACATAATTTTTTCATCCATTTGTCAGTGGATGGACCCCCTTCCTTGATTCCATACCTTGGCTATCGTGAATAGTGCTGCAATAAACAAAAGTACAGCCAGTAGCAGTAGTGCACCCCTATACCCAGCAATTTGGGAGGCTAAGACAGGATGATTGCAAGTTTGAGGGCAGCCTGGGCACCTTAGCAAGACCCTGTATCAGAATAAAAAATAAAAAGGTCAGGGGCTGGGGTTGTGGCTCAGTGATGGAGTGCTCGCCTAGCATGCACAAGGCACCAGGTTTGATCCTCAGCACCACATAAATGTAAAATAAAGATATTGTATCCACCTAAAGCTTAAGAATAAATATTTTAAAAATAAATAAATAAAAATAAAAAGGCCAAGCAATAGAGTGAGCCCCTGGGTTCAATCCATACCATACACACACACACACACACACAAAATGCATATGTTCTTCAACATATTGGTTTTAGTCCCTTTGGATATATACCTCATAGCAGGATGGTAGGATCCTATGGTAGTTCTGTTTCTGATTCCATTTTGAGGAACCTCTATTCTGTCTTCCATAATGGCTGTGTTGATTTACATCCCATTTTGTATGAGAGTTTCCCTTCTCTACATCTTCACCAGCATTTATTATTTTTTGTCTTTTTTATAACAGCCTTTATAACTTGGGTGATATGGCATTGCCTTGTTTTTTATTTTCATTTCCCTGATAATTAGTGATGTTGACATTTTTTTCATATACTTGTTGGCCATTTGTATATACTCTTTAAAAATATTGTAGATGGACACAGTACCTTTATTTCATTTATTTATTTTTATGTGGTGCTTAGAATTGACCCCGGCGCCTCACATATGCTAGGCAAGCACTCTACAGCTGAGCCACAACCCCAGTCCTTGTATATAACTCTTGAGAAATGTCTATTTGGTTTATTTGTCCATTCTCTAATTGAATTTTTTTTTTTTTTTTTTTTTTTGCTATTGAGTTGTTTTGATTCCATACCTTGGCTATTGTGAATAGTGTTTTGAGTTCCTTATATATGCTACATATTAAATTAGTCCCTTAATCAGGTGAATAGTTCCCAAATATATTCTCCCATTCTTTAGGTTATCTCTTCTCTCTGTTGATTGTTTCCTTTGCTGTGATTTTTAGTTTAATGTAATCCCATTTGTCAATTTTTGCTTTTGTTGCCTGATCTTTTGGCTTATATCTTAAAAAAAAAAAAAAAAAACTTTGCCCAAAGTCCTGAAGGATTTTCTCCATTTTCTTCTAGTAGATTGACAGTTGGGGTCTTACATTTGAGTCATTGGTCTATTTTGACTTGATTTTTATATGGTGAGATAGAGATTCCCTTTTGTTTAACCTTCAAACATATATTAAAATAATATTTAAATATTTTCACATGGGCTGGGGTTGCAACTCAGTGGTAGAGTGCTTGCTTAGCATGTGTGAGTACTGGGTTTAATTCTCAGTACCACATATAATTAAATAAAATAAAGATCCATCAACAACTAAAAAAAATCAAAATAAAATAAAGGTATTGTGTCCATCTACAACTAAGAAAATATTTAATTTTTTTTCATACAACAAGGACCTCATTTGTCTTTTTTGCTGTTATTCGCTAGTTTAGCTTATGACCCAGTGCAGAAGACAGCAAACAAGCAATGTCAAATCTGTCATGTTATAAAAGGATAAAGAAATACAGCAGCAGAGACCTAAGGCATTAGGTCTAGTTAATACAGGGTGTCTTCAGAGATTGGTTGTTTCCAAGTGGCCCCAATTCTAGTTGCACACTAGGATTAAATGAGTACGAGATTCTGGAAGTGAGCCCTGACCTCAGTATTTCCATTCTTTGAGATACTTTTTTTTCTAAACATCCAAGCCAGAGGCTTGCTACTATCTGCATAATCTCTTTACATTGAACCAAAGTGAAAGATGGTGTTTCAAGGAATATTTTTAACTGCACATATGCACACTAGTGTTATATACAAGGCAATTTATTGCAGCATTATTTATAAAAGTAAAAAATTGGAAACAGCCTAAATGTCTTTGAAGAAGAGCTGGTTGGCCCAACTGTGCTACTCCCCTTGTTCAAAGACAGGTGCCTGAATGAGTGGTGCCTGCTTTTGTGTGTGTGTGTGTGTGTGTGTGATTTGTTCACATGCACGTACAGCATCTCTGAAGGATAACACAAATCAGCAGAAGTTGCATGAGGATTTAGAAACTGAGATATCAGGGAATCAAAGAGGAATGAGCTGAGTGCAGTAGTGGCACATGGCTATAATCTCAGCAACTCAGGAGGCTGAGGCAGGAGGATCACAAGTTCAAAGCCATTCTCAGGAACTAAGCGAGGCCTGGGTAATTAAGCTAGATCCTGTCTCAAAATAAATAATAATAATAAATAAGAGCTGGGGGTGTAGCTCAGTAGTTAAGTGCCCCCTGGGTTCAATCCCTGGTACTAAAAAAAAAAAAAAAAAAAGGGAGGGATGAAAGCCAGCTATACCCAGAAGCGATGCTACTAGAAGCAGAAGATCCAGCATATCCTTATTCAGG